ACACCTTGACCTTGACATTATATTCTTTAGTCATTGGTCCAGACGATGCCGACAAAGACAGTGCTGAAATTAAGAGTTGAAATCTATTTGGAAAAACTATAAAGTAAAGAGCCAACCAGACAATAATAATATAACTTCAATGACAGTGGCGTTACAAAAACCATAAACACTATTTCATAAGTGTTTTGATTAGAACCAAACACAAAGGCATGCTTTTAATGATAAAATTGTTGTAAATCGTACTGTTTTCTTCAAAAGCGAATATCTCCAACGAAAAAAAATGTATTGACTTTAATCAAAAAACAAACTAGGTACATATTGACAGATTGTTTTGAACTTTTGACAAAATAGCAACCATTTTTTGCCAAATTTTGTTTTCTTTCGGTTAACTAATGTAGCTACAAATTGTTAACAAAATCACCAAAATCCGCTTCGTGTTCGTTTTTCGTACCGGTCAATGTATTTTTTGAACTACACAAAAAGCATTATAAATCTCATACACCGGAATGCTTGTCCATTTGTTCCTATATCACTTTCAGCTTTAATTCCCTACTTTAAAATTTAGCGATTTATCGATATTTCGAATTATATTCGAATAACTTCTTCGATTACTTTCGTTTTCTTTCGGCCTTGGCATTCTCTCAAATAAAAGGACAGGAACTCTTGGCGATAGGACTGTTGCAACGCTACTTATAGCGGCGCCTATATAACATTTTGCTTAATATAATCTGTAGTCTGGCGAGATTATTCAATGCAAATTTTACATAATTATGTATTCAATTTTGGTCTTTGTTTATTGCTAATTATAATTATAGTACTTCTCATTAATTTTTCTCATACGGCAGAAATCTAACCATTAGAGCAGTCAAAATTGATATTTTTTTAAATAAAATATTTTGTAGTACAGACCTGTACTACAAATTTAAAAAAAATACGTCAAAAAACACATATTTTTTACAGTCTGCCATACGATCGAAAAAAAAGTACTATACGGTCGAGAAAAAAAAGGCGTTAGAGTCGGCTGGGGAATGACAATCGAAGATAATTTTGGCCAGTTACGTCAATTACTTGGCTCGTACTATTCGTAATGGCGCTTACTGCCAGGGTGGCTGAAGAAGTCTTTTACCTGCTGAGCAAACATTTCTCCCATCCAATTCTTTTTATTGCTCAATACTACTGTGAGGTGTTTCGCAAAATTATACACTCTTGGTATGTCATTCACTGGGAGATGGAGGAATGGAATTTTCCTTTTGAGGGTGTTCCAAGCTCCTGAGCTGAGAATTATCCCAGTACTGTTTCCGTCAATGACCATTCTAATCATTGTCGCATTGGCATATCTACCGAAGATAATGTTCAGTGGTGTTAGGTCTAGAATGACTTTGCTACTGTTGGGCATGTTTTTATGGCTCCTGTAATACAAATGCATGTCAGTCTCTGTACTTTGCACAGGTTTTGTCTTGCTGCACTTTGCCAGTCTTTTGTAGACTATAGGTGTAACCAGTGTATCATTGTCACAATATACGTTCTTAATTTTTTTTCATAGTAAAAGTTAAACAATTTTTAACCTGCTTGGTACTACTCTACGTTATATTTTCCGCTCTACTGAATATATATTTTTTTCAAACCTGTTGTACCTAGATAATTTAACGAGGTTGATTTTTAATATTTGTTTTATTCTTTTTATATTATATAATATTTGTCGGATTGACAGTTTATAAATACTAATGGAATTGTCTATAACAATTGTTTATTTATAATATTACAAAATTAATAATCATATTGTTTTACATATTTTTGGACTTTAGATTTTCTTAATGTTTTTAAAATTAGACTGAATTTATGAACTAAATCTGACTCATTGTACAATTTTGGGAAATTGATAACTATCTGTTACTTGAAGTTAATAACTGAACACACCTTTTAAGAATCCATGGTTTTTAGTAAGATACCTTTTTTACGAAAAAAAAAGTCGTAAAGGTTTTTTTTTACTCGGTAGTTTTATACAGGTACGGGCGAAAAAATATTACTCTCTTCAAACAATTAAAACACATGTAGGTGGTGCCCTGTACAAATGGTTCTCGAGATATTTGGAATTGAAATTATCAACACCTGTCATCATTGACATAAATTAAACATGTAAACTAAATAGTTATTAGACTGAAATCATAAACTTGAAATATTTTTGTGCCAAAAGTTAGGGCTAAAAATAGGAGTAATTTTGACATCAAAATCAAATTTCTCGTGTCACAAATCTCCCAGACACCAATTTTCATCCTAATATTGACGTTACTTCAGAAATTATTTAGAAAAAATCGAAATAAAAATGAAAATTCTACACCCTCTATCTCCGAAACTAAGTATATAATAATTAGGACATACATTTATACGAACTTTTTTACTTATTTTTATCTGCAGAATATGCTACCGAAGTTTCCGGAATACAATTCGGACCACCCTATAGAAACATAGTAGGCGCCTGTCTACATATATTGCAAATGTCAAAATTAACTGTCATCTTTAGTTAACTTAATACCAGTTTTAGACCGCTTTGTTTAAAGCTGTACTCAACCTGAATTTTTGAAGTTGACGAAGTTGGTTGTATGCTGAGTTCTTGGAATTATTTTAATGGTGTCTTTTTATCGTTCAATTTAATAGAATTGAACTATTCAGGGACAAAAATGTAACTGATTTTGTAAACTCTAGTTACATATCGAAATCCAACCCTAGTTTCTGACATCTAAAAAGTCAATTTATATATTTATAGTTTTAAGTTTACTTCGAAATCATTATCATGTATCGAAATTTATTTTTTATGCCATGAAAATATGATCCTTTAAACGTTTGAAGTACATTCTAGTGTAACCACTTATAATAAGCTTTATGAATTATCTCATTTTGAATGAAATCTAAATTTTATTGTTATTTATAGATCTGGTTTAAATGTAGACGATTAGATTTCGTACTATTTCGAAAAAATAATTGGCTAATGCAGATATTTATATACAAAAGGGAGGTCTGTTATTCCGAAATTGTTGCTTTTTTGTTGTTTTAAGTGGTACTAGGAGATTTGGTATATTTCAGCTAGACTATAAAAAAACATAGTGTAATGCCGGGACCCCATTAACCAACACGCCACGCCACGCCACGCCATGCCATGCCACTCCACGTCATGTGCTATATGTATGTTTTTCCATTTAATTACATGTATTGCGTACACTTTAGGCAACACGCTATCTCACGCCATCCCACGCTATCACACGTGTGGTGGACGATTCGTCTGCCCCAGATCTCATGTGTATACTCTTTCCCACGTCGCAACACGTGGGCCCACGTGGGATAGCGTGACGTGTGGCCTAATGGGGTCCCGGCTTAAAAATTATAATTTTTTAATTTTTAACGGTGAAAAAGTTTCTGGTAATTTTTACTGGCAATCACATCGCCAGGGATATCCTATTCTTATCAATGCAGTATAGGAATTTGACGTTAATACCATATTATCGAAATAAAAACGTCGTCTCGTAAAGTTACCCTAGAAATGAGGATCGATGACATTCACCATATACTTTTGCAAATATACTTTTTATCATATATATTTTTAATGTTGTACCGAGTGTTGTACGTAACATAATTGAGCCTTCCCAATATCCACGATTTTTTCTACATAACATTACAATTTAACACTGTTTAGTTCATGATAAATAAGTATGTTAAATTTATGAGTAATTGTAATATACTTAGGGCAGGTAAAAAAGAAACTCCTTGGTAATATATTAAACATAATAGCATGGATCATTTTAAAATCTTGTTTAATGTGAGCTTTTGAACATAATTTTGAGAAAAAAATAATTATAATTAATTCTTTTCGGAAAAACAAGTTTGGTAACAAATGAAAGGGGTCAATTTTGTGGATTGTATTAATGCTCACCTTGTCTCTTATCAACAGCGTTTACAAATAACAATATTACGTGTTCTAAAAATATTTTAAATATTGGAACTTTTTACGCGCAACTAACGTCTAAATATTCCATATTCATATACTAAAAATTGTTTACAAATTCCTCAATATTGTGTATTGTTTTCTTACACTCTATAGCATTTAAAAATTGCCAGTGGACACTTTAAAGCTCTTGTACCTGTCACTTTGTAATATTTTTAAAAATCAACCAAAAATCTTCGTAGATTTTTGATTTAAAATAAATATCGTTATAGATAAAAAGATTTTTGACAGAACCCATTGTGAGATATGGTATGTGATTATTATTTAAAACGATTATTTTAATTTACGCGTATACAGGATGATTAGTTCAGATACTCAATGTTAGTGCTGTTTTACATAGAGCGGACCGTCCGACGGAGTTGTTTCACCTGTCCAGTCAGTCTGCGCATGCGAAACAACGTTTTTAACCATAATCAAAGTTAATACTAACCATCTTTCAAAGAATAAAAACTCTAAAATGGTATGTAAATTTGGAAAAATATAAACGGGATTAACCGCTTTAGAACAAGCAATAACTTTTATGTGGAATGCGTTTTTTTCAAAAAGTTAATTATAAAAAAGTATTTCCTCTTGTCAAGACAATCCGGGGGCATACTGTATAATCTGCTGTAATTTTTAATATCATCAGTGTAACCATTTTTATCCAACTAAATTTGACATATACCCGAGGACAAGTATTTTTTGTCTAATTCAAAGCAAAAACTAACGCAAAGTCAAATTTAACTTTAAATAAATTTAAAAAAAATCCTTATGATACGTAGTATCTCTTTGACACTGTAAAACATAAGTGTGTCTGTCATTTTTTGAATGTCGTCCGTTTAAATCATATATTCTCTCGCCGAACAGACTATAACTGTCTCTGTAATACTGTGATATATTCATGGACAAGTAACTAAGAGAACATGGAATTCTTATTCGTATAATCTGTTCGAAGCGATGCCGAAGCGAGTCTTATATTGTACGATTGTCACGCAGTATTGTATGTTTGTTTTTTCTTTTGCAGGAATATTTGCATACCTGAACTTCTTAACCCCGAAGAAGAGGTCAGAAATATTGGAACTTTTAGTCACTGGACTCAAACGGCTGGAATATCGTGGCTACGATTCTGCAGGTATGTGAAAAACACGTTCCTACGTATATTTTCACCAGGGGCGTAACAATACAGAATACAGGGCGTCCCTCCGGGAAATTCTTCGATTCGTGTAACAAAAAAAAAAAAATAGAATCATTATTCTCAAGTAAATAAACATAGGCTTGGTGCATTTCAGTTCATTTTAAAAATTCCGACCGCAGCGCTTGATACGGCAGAAGTTAGAATTTGGACATCTATTAACCGGCCAGGACAAGACACGAAAAACATTAGACTATCAAATCAATTTCTCCAAGGCTTCTTGATTAAAAATTAGTGTTTTTTAACACAGTCATGGCACTCTAGATTGAAATTTAAAATACGATTTGTTTAAAGCAAAAATGTCAAAAGTTAACATATGATATGTCATTCTATTCAGGATCTCATTTTCTATCGAATGAAGTAGAAAAATACCGAGGGTGACATTTAATAATCAAAAGTTATAGTAATTTCCGGTGAAACAGGAAGTGATCAAAAACAATTGAATATGTCAATCAACCTAATTTATGTCATATACTAACATAACAAATATCGATTTTTTCTCTGAAATAATAAAAAGTTATAGACGTGAGCCGCTTTTGAGACGCACCCGATACAATAAAAAATAAATAGGCATATACTATGAGAGGTTAAAATATAATTTGCTTTATTAATCTTCTAAAATTATAATTATGTACCTTTAAAAATTTTGTTAACCGAAATAGCCCCAGTTATGACCCCACTAGCAAAACCGATGCGTAAAACTATGCTCGCTACCGTAGTGGTACTCATCTAAAAAGTTTTTTTAGCTGGAATACTATTATAATACATGTTAAACCCTCTGAAGATATCAAAATATTTACTTTCTTATTTTTATTTTTAAATTTTCCCGAATTATACTTCCTAATACTCTCTAGAATAATTATATAAAATTTTTTCATATACTCTACAATTGTGTATTTGTATATGCCAGTTGTTTATGATATTCTCCGATGGTGGCAGCACCGGCGGAGAATGCACCAAGCCTATAGAATAAACGGGAGGCAATAAAAAAATATCTTTCTCGTTTGCTCCCTATCTCTCTCTCCGTCTTTTTCTCTGTCTCTCCTTCACATCAGCTAGCCTAGCATACTACGTATAGTCTTGGATCGGTATTTACATGTATAGGAGTGAATCGCTAGGGTAATCTTGTAAGTTAGAGAGAAAAAAAGCGAAGAATTTATTACATGACCACTTAATCCGGCCATTTATTTCATGCTCCTAAGAAAATACTTGCTTTTCTCTTTAATGTTGTGAACACATCGACTGTACTCTTCGTACATACGAAAATCGGCACTCAAAGCCAGGCGTTGCCGACCGTGTATAAGTGTGAATATTAACAAATAACTGTATTTAATTTTTTATTAGATTAGGTTTGTGTACTTACCAGTTATTATTCTTCGTCCAAAAATGGGTCTACGGAAGTAGGTCTATTTCGCCGAGTTTTTATATGTAAAATATAAGTCATAGTCCAGTAAATAAGGACACGAAAAGACCTAAGTCTCGGCCTTTCTCGACCAGGACTTTTCAAGGGATTATGTATCTGTTGGAGAGTAGTTTTAGGGATAAAAATTGTAACACCGTGCTCGGTCAGCTTTGCCCGAAAAAATGGCACAAAATGGTCGAAAAATCAGTTTTTGCAAATATCTGCCAAAATATGCAATTTACAAATATTTTCTTCAAATAAATAAAATGAAGCTCATGCAGGTAATTACCTACAGAAATGGGCCTTATCATTTTTACGTAGAATTAGTAGTTTTCGAGATATTCCGTCTCGAAGATCCCTGATTAACATTTGTTCTTAGAGTCTCTTTAAGCAACTCTGAAAGTTTGATGTATTCGTTTAATCACATTTTAATAAAAAAAAAAACAACTATTCGTGATTGGTTTTTTTCCACTTTTTTGGGATTTCCGGAAAGTGTCGTAAACAAAAGAAAATAGCATATTAACTTTATAAGTAACAAACATCAATGAGGAGCTGGAAATCAATGATACAAGTTCAAAATTGCTTGCAACATCTTGCAGCTCTTTCAGTGTATATTGTTCTTGTCTATTTTCCCGGATATAATGGACTACCTTCACCATTTGGTCTGAAATATCAACATCCAAGGGACGTCCTACGCCCTTTGATAGACAGGGGCGTAGACCCCCATAGATTGGGGCTGCGGAACATGACTTATAAAATTGTGTTTGACAATGTTTTTGATATCTGGCACCCAAAGAAATCTTGACAAATAAGCTATTATTAGTGAAAATATGAATAAGTTTGTAAAAATCTGAAAATTTTTGGGACAAGGAATGTTTGCCCGGTTTTTTATTATCATAAAATATGACAAAATTAAAACACGTTCCAAAATGTGATAGCTGTTGATTCTACCTTTTAAATCAACTTTGAATCATCAAAAAATATTAAATTTTAGCCGAGTTATTAAACAATTTGCCCTATCAATCAATGATACTCTTATGAAATATATCTCCGGAGCGTTAAGACTTGGAGAGGAAATTCAGTAAATTCAGCGATTTTTGTGGCGGAATATCTCGAAAACTACTAATTCTACGTAAAAAATGATAAGGGCCTTTTTTGTAGGTAATTACCTGAGCTTCAATTAGAAGTAATTTTTTATGCCATTTTTTGGTATCATCAGTGATTCATTTAATAATTATAAATATGATTAATTTAAATTTTAGGTGTTGCAATCGACGGAGCTAACGATAAAGAAATCGCACTTATCAAGAAAACTGGTAAAGTCGCCCTTCTAGAAGAAGCTATTAAAGAGAGTAAGTATTATTATTGTATAATAAAATAAGATATGACTAGGTAAAATAAAGAAGACACATTACAGTTTTTCCTCAATGTTTGAACTGCGCCAAGCCTTGAGATATGTATCAAGGTGTATGATGAATACTTTGAGGCTACCAGTAGACTGTGGACACAAAACGCACAAAATCAGTCACAGGCACAAAATCCTATTCGAAAAACCGTTGTGAAGAACTGTGCAAGCCGGTCTCTACCATCTCTCGGAAGATTCCTCACTTTAGAATTTATTTTTTATATCAACATAGATTCTAATTCGTTTTGTTCTTCTCTTTTTATTTATTATAATTTTCTTCCAAATGCTTTTAGCAATTCGAATGAAATTTTTGACATAAACATGATTGCGGAAATGCATAGTTTTAAAGTTTCAGGATGTTAAAACTTTTAAAAAATAGAGGTTTTGGTTATTATCTTAAATACCATTATTTTTTGAATTTGAACATCAGTGTTATAAATTTTAATAAGATTTAATAAACAAATTATATTAAATAAATAATTTATTAAATTTATTTTTATTGTAATTTTATTAATTATGATTAAAGTTGCGTGAGGGATATACAACAAGGGAAAAAAGTCAATAGCGTACATTTTTTGTTTGGAAAAATATTCCATTATAACTCATTATGCACGTACTTGGTAAATCTGTCGACACTTTTTTAGCATTGAAATATGTCGCACTTATAGTAATTTTACCCTCAAAATTTTTAATAAATCGAAAAAAAAATGGAGACTTTAATCCCCTGTCCGTGTCTGCGCAGTTTTGCCTTAAAGAAAAACTGTATGTGTGTGTGGCTATCGAAGAAGATTACTTATGATGCACTTATATCAGACTTGGCATAATAATACATTAAATATTTGTATGACTATTTTTTTGTTAATTAATTTTTTAATTGATTAGTCGACGAAACAATTGATAGTGTTAATCATATAAGCCATTTCTGAAAATACACAACTACACATCTATCATTCTAATTCAAGTATTTTTCTTTTCTTTTACAGTTAGCGAAGCACTATATTTAAATGAACTTACTGAGACGCATTGTGGTATTGCCCATACACGTTGGGCTACTCACGGTATTCCTAGTGAAGTTAACTCACATCCTCACAGGTAAACAACAAAATAAATTGATTTAGGATTTGGGTGTGATATTGGACAGCTATTGAAATTAAGCAAAATGTATAAATTCTCAGTAGTATTATAATCCCAATAATCCCAGTCATTTATTAGCGGATCAAGAGTATTTGAAAGTATTTATTTAAGAATAATATTATTTATATATTTCAAAAAGGTTAATATACCTCTAACCTCTTCATGTTTTATTTGCAGGTCTGATGATCACAACAGTTTTGTAGTGGTGCACAATGGTATTCTGACGAACTACAAAGAAGTCAAAGTTTTCCTTGAACATAAGGGATATAAATTTGAAAGTGAAACCGACACGGAGATTATCGCAAAACTAATTTATCATTTTTACAAACAGCATCCTAACTTTTCGTTCAGAGAATTGGTCGAAAATGTTGTTCAACAGTTGGTGAGTAAAATAACTCAAATATATATACAAATAACTCAAATATATATACATTAAAAAAGACGGCGTCCAGTTGGCTTGGAAATGACAATCGATGACATTCCCCATAGAACTTTACATACAAAATGACAGAGATTTTCATTTCCAAACCATCTCTAACGCCGTATGGTGTCGATCTTATCTTCTTACAGTATGATGATTGTATTACCTTGGATTGTTCCTATGGTATTTCCCTAGATCCATATATACGTGGATAAGTAAATCACTATGGAAACTGTCACAAACATATCAACGACTTACATTTATCTTCTTTCTTTGTTGCACATGCGGTGTTTCTACTTTGTCTATCCTTGTCGAGGACCTATCGTACCCGCGTCAAAATTGAATATTAATTTTAAAAATTTAATTTGTAAAATGCATATATTTGAACAATAAATTGAATGTTTACTGTCACAAAAAAATTAAATTATATAAAAAATTCATTTAGCCACTTTGAACTTTATTACAGTTGAGGGTTGGAACCTTTGGTGTTACACAGCAAAATAAAATTACACTAAATCACCACAATACACCAAAACACTTTTACTTTTACACTGGACGCGCGTTTCGCTAACCATGTTAGCATCATCAGCAGATGATTATAAACTGATACATACAAGTTATATACAGATACAACAGTTTATAATCATTTGCTGATGATGCTAACATGGTTATCGAAACGCGCGTCCAGTGTAAAAGTAAAAGTGTTTTGGTGTATTGTGGTGATTTAGTGTAATTTTATTTCACTTTGAACTAATATCGATATTCTTAGGAAATCTAACCAGAAAGTATGAAGGCGGTTTAATATAAATAAAAGAACAACTGAATACTTTACTTGTCTATGAAAAGATAATTCGGGGACTTTTATATTAGAACTTTCACACACCAAACACTTTCTAGTCATTTTTACGAATATGTAAAAAGTCCAACGAAAAAAAAATAGAAATATAATTGCACAAACTTAAAATCAACTTCTCACTGAACACACTTGCATCCTTGGCTATATAACAGCGATCGATAAAAGAGTAATTAGTACAATTTTAAAAATAAAAAACGCAAAAAATAAACGTCGTTACACAATGGAAATAAGATTATGACATATGATTATGACAACCACAACATTTTTTTACTTTCTGAATCGTATAAAATTGTGATTATTTTGGAAATACGTGTAAAGCTTGATTTTCATGCATCCGTTGTCCGACGATACGTTGATACGATATTAATTTCATTGGTTGTATTTAAAGGCTTCGAGTGGTTAGAAACGGTTAACCAATAATAATACAACCAATGAAATTAATACCGTATCAACGTATCGTCGGACAATAGATGCATGAAAATCAAGCTTAAGGTCCAAAAGGTCCACGGAAAAGACAAATTTATTGAACGTTTCATAAGTGCAATAAAGAAGGTTTGAAAATGGCATGTCGTGATGTTGGAGACATCGTTTTTAATGCTAATTGTATGGCGTTTATGCATCCACGTAAGTGTATATATGATATAAAGCAAGATATTTCGCATTTTTATTTTAATGGTAAGTCCTTAAATATATCTTCAAAAATTTGATAATATCGACAGTAGATTAAATTTATAGAATTTTATTTCTTTTTTTTATTTAATTTTTTTTACCTGTTCTTCTTCATTAGAACAGCACAAAAAATACGCTTTCATCCGAACACCGAATCGAATTCATTGTTTTAAAAACTAAACTACAGTAAGTAAAAAACACGTCGACTAACTAAATAGCGTTTCAGAAGCGCGCTATAGTGGGCGCAGTCCATATACAGGGTGTCCCAGGCTGAGCGTGCATTAGAAGTTTCTAGAGAACTACAATATCTAGATGGGAGATTTTTTGCATATCATTGTTCTACAATGAGATCTATCGATTAAAAATATTTTCAATATGACGGCACTTCCGGAAATACCGGAAGTTGACAGCAACTTTTTTATTTTAAATGGGTACACCCATTTTTTATTACATATTTAAATTCTCTGTCGAATTTTATAAATTTTTATATTAAATACTCTATACCTAACATTAACCGTTTTTGAGAGAAAATTATTTAAAATTTTTGAAGGAAAAAAACTGCCTGTCAAAAATATGTGTATAGCCTAAACGTCAAATTTAGTGAATGTCATATAATAATGACCGCAGCTGTCTTGGAATTGAGCGATTAAAAAATTATCATAAATCATTTTTTTCAAATGGAAACCCACTTTTTTATTTCACTAGTGAAAAGGCTTTTCAATTTGTTACTTTTTGACTATACATGATCCTATACCTAAAATAAATTGTTTTTCAGTTATTTAGATTTAGTTTTAAAGCGTCTATTTTTCTTAATTTTAACCAGTAGCCTATGACTTTAAACGTCAAGTGATGTAAAACAATAGATCTGGCCATGTCATATTGTGACACTTTGTTCAAAAAGCAGTATGTTATTGATTATCATTTCCAAGCCAACTTTGCGCTGTTTTTTTTTCGATCATACGGTATATTATTAATAATATCCACTATTAGATATCACTAAAGAGCGAAAATATGAGATATATTTTTTTATAAATAAACTTTTTAAACTTTTAAGCAGGCAGTATTTATAATGTAGGAAATTCAAATAATACGTTTTCTAACAGATGGAAATAAATTGTCTGACTGTTTGACACTTAATGTCAAAGGAAGCTAGATAAAATCAAGAAAAATATATGTTTTCAAACTAAATCTTAAATAACTTTAAAACGATTTATTTTAGGTATAGGAACATATATACTCAAAATGTAACGAATTGGAAAACCTTTGCACTAGTGAAATAAAAAAAGTGGGTTTCCATTTGAAAAAAATGATTTTTAATAATTTTTTAATTGTTCAACTCCATGACAGCTACCGCTATTATTATATGACATTTGAACAATTTAATTTTTAAAATAGATAGCCGCATGTCTTCTCTTTATGTCACAGTGGCTGTGGTAATCACTAAATTTAACTTTTATGCTATACAATTTTTTTTGACAGGTAGTTTCTTTCGTCCAAAAATTTTAAATATTTTTTTTCTCAAAAACGATTAATGTTAGGTATAGAGAGTTAGAGATATCAAAATTCATAAAATTTTACAGAGAATTTAAATATGTAATAAAAAATGGGGGTACCTATTTAAAATAAGAAAGTTGCTGTCAATTTACGGTATTTCCGGAAGTGCCGCCATATTGAAAATATTTTTAATCGATAGATCTCGGTGTATAACAATCATGTGCAAAAAATCTCCGATCTAGATATTGTGGTTCTCTAGAATCTTCTAATGCACGCTCAGCCTGGGACACCCTGTATATGCGCAGTCCCTCCACAGCCGGAAAAACTTCTCTTCCCGGGCCGGCGGCGGCGCTCTCTAGTGGACGACAACCTTTATCCGATAGTTAAGCAGCCTTAAATGCGCTAGAGAAGCTGAACAAATTATGCAAAGAAAATAAAGTCCTTTTACTCTGAGTGCCAGCCTACCGGGGGATAGAATGTAATAAAAAAGCAAACGACCTAACCTAACTAACTGGACCAGGTTCTGCTTCCCAAATGTAAACCAACTAAAGGGGGAACTCAAGAACCTGAACGACGTCCTCCATAGCCTGGAATGGAAATCCTCCAATGCAATGGTCTAAAACCGAAGAAATTTCTCAGAACTTACGACCGACAAATATCAAAGATTTTCCTTGATTTAAGTAAGAATAATATTCGGATTGTCACTGAGTTTTTAACATGACAATGTCTCATCAATGAAAGACCTCAGTAGATTGAATCTAAGAAACAACGGTGAATACAGATTCTGTGGGGAAAATGGGGAACCACCACTGAATGCGCCGAGACAACAACAACGTACCATAAACTTTGATACGACTTGTCGACTTATCGGAGATGGAGAACTAACCTCTATAAAACCGTCTCAGATACTAGCTTTTGCCAAAGCTCTGAGTCTATATAATGAATTATATAACTTAAGATGTAAGGTCGCATTGATTTACTTCCCCCGTCTCATACAATCTACTGTAAGCAATGATAAAACATTAATGGTGGTCATTGAATTTGCCTGTTTATATCTTTTATAAGTAAATAACAACTTTGACTCCCGTAACATTACTGGAAAGTATAAAATAATGTATCTATTTTGTTTTTAGGAAGGTGCATTTGCTCTCTGCTTTAAATCCAAATTCTTCCCTGGCGAATGTGTTGGCACCAGACGTGGTTCGCCTCTTTTGGTTGGTATTAAAACCAAAACTAGATTGGCTACCGATCACATTCCAATTTTATACGGAAAAGGTAATTAGCAAAAACAATTAGTTGTAAAATCAGGTTTGCAGCAAACAAAATGTTTGTTTATCCTAAATTAAAGATATATGCACATTAAAATGGTATTATAGACGATTTTTTATTTATCTACGTGGCATATACTGTGACATTTCATAATGTTTAGTTTCTTAGAAAAAACATGTATTTTTTGAAATGAAAATTAAAAGTTACTATAATAAGTAGAGAGTAATTTGTAATTAAATACTTTAATTTTCTGTTTAAAATGTTATAATTCATTTTTAATTTACTCAAAATTTAACTTCGGAAGCGGTCATATAAAAATACTATGACTTTTGAAAATGTTTAACAATGATTTAATGTGTTTTTTTAACTGCTGTGAATATTTATTAGCTTCTACTTAACTAAAGTTTGTCCCACAAGCCAGGAAAGATTTAGACAGACGACATCCAAAAAATGACAGGAATTGAAGTACAATTTGCCTGTCAATTAAAATGACAGACAATAACTGTAACTGTACTTTCGTTGGACATACTAAATCTTACTTTGTAATTTTGCTTTAAAAACATTGGGGTGTTAGCGAGGTTGGCGTTACTATGGTATAGCCCTTATTTCTACAGGCAATTACATATACAATTCTAATTATACAGGGTGGTCCGAACTGAATTCCGGAAACATATTCTCTAGATACGAATAAATCAAAAAGTCTGTATAAATGTATGTCCTAAAATGCTTAGTTTCAGAGGTTTTATCTTAGTAGAGGTTATTTATTTTATTTCGATTTTTTCCAAATAATTTCTGAAGTTACGTCAATATTTAAATGAAAATTGGTGTCTGGAAGTTTTATGGCATGAGAAATTTGATTTTGATGTCAATATGTCTTCTATTTATAGGAGGCGCCACATACATGTGTTTTAACTGTTTTGAAGAATAATAACTTTTTGTCCGTACCTGTATAATACTACTGGGTGAAAAAATATACATTCCCGTGATTTTTTACGTAAAAAATGTCTCTTGGTAAAAATCGCTACGAGCAACCGTTCTCAAGATATTTAGAATGGAAATATATAGTTAATATTGACAAAAAATATTTCATTATTGACAAAAAATAGACATGTCGAGTAGATAGTTATTTGAGTGAAATGATAAATTTGGGAACTTTTTATTTTTTTAAATTAATCATAAATTTTTCTTTTAAATAATGATGATAAAACATTTTCTTTTGAACGTTTGGCACAAAAACATTTCAAGTTTATGATTTCAGTCTAATAACTATTTAGTCAACATGTTTAATTTTTGTCAATGACGACAGGTATGGATAATTTCGATTCCAAATATCTCGAGAACCATTACTCGTAGCGATTTTTATCAAGAGACCTTTTCTATGTTAAAAACGTCGTAAATGTATATTTTTTACTCAGTGGTTTTATACAGGTACGGACGAAAATTTATTACTTTTCAAACCAGTTAAAAAATGTGTAGATGGCACCCCCTACAAGTAACAGTCGAAAAAAAATTGAAATAAAAACGAATCTTCTACACCCTGTATCTTTGAAACTAAGCATTTTAGGACATACATTTATACAAACTTTTTTACTTATTTTTATCTGCAGAATATAGTTCGGATAACTCTGAATAAAAATAGCTATTAAAATCAAAGACTGTTTGATCATATGGTATTAAATTCATAGTATTTTTGTAGGGCCGCCTAATTTTGACATTTTAAACAAAAAACTAAAAGTGAACTTATATGCATTCATCATAAGTCCCTCATCTCATTTTTATGTAATTTTTTTGATTTATTACAGAAATGACAAATCATATTTAATGTGATTGAAGAGGCAGATGCATATGAACCCATATTAAAAGTGTTTTTACTATTAGGTACAAAAGTTTCAATTTTATTCAAGAGAGATGCTTTTTAGTGCAATTTACTCTTACAGCAAGATAAAAAACGCTACTTTATCATATGCATGTTCTATACTAAACAACAAATCTCATCTGTTTTTACATATTTATAAAAACGTTTTTTTTTATTTCTCATAAAATATACCATACCCCCAATGAAAGTATAAAGAGTGCAATCTTTCATTCAGGATATTCAGATAACCAATTATTAATGTATAAAAAAAATAATACTGGCGGTTTACTATTCTTCATTCTGCTAATAAGCCAAACGGGGTTGACTCTTTATCTATTAATTTCTTCATTTTCTACAAACTGATATTTTTATCCAAGGTAATTAGATTTTTTCATTCCGTAGATATTTTAGTAGTTGCATGTGTAGTTATTTTTTTGCATGAAGCATGATTATTTATTTTGTATTACATGTTTTATATTAGTCCTTAATTGTAACATTTATTTGCCAAAATTTTGTATATCTTTTTTATGTTAACATTACTAACTTTCCCTTCTTTACTAACTTACTCATACATACTAGGGTGCGCCAAAAAAATGTTTGTTTTTCTTTTTAGTTACCATGTTCAGGATGATAAAATTCTGGTAAAGTTTGAGCTTTGAATATTAATATTAAGAGGTGTCTCATCGTGATTTTCTATTTCCCATTTAAATAACATGGGGAAACAATTTTTTTTATTTTGGAATTTTATTGCGTTCTGACAAATCAGCGATTTGTAAAAATCAACACATATTTTTGTAAGAAATTGAACGGTCTTAAAAAAAGGTCTGATATCGTCAGTGAAACGTGATAACCTGCTAACTCCATTTTTTACGTTAATAAGTTTTTTATACCATTAGAAAGAGAAATAAATACTCTATAAGTAGAGAAAGCAAATACATTTTTTCCCATTTAAGAAAATTTGCTATTTTAACTCAATAATACCTGCTAACTCCAAGTGATCTGAAATAGCCACCGAAATGCTGCTATCTCCGTAATTTCCGTTACGATCACGCTAAAGCAAACACACGGATCCTTACTCGTATGTTTCTTTAGTACAGTACGTCGATCCAGGGTCGCACTAGGTAAAGAGGGGCCCGTGTGGATTTTTTTTGCGTATTTTTTCGCCTTACGTTTTGGTCAATTTTTCCTTATTATTTACAGGGTGAGTCTTAAAAAGTGCAAATATTTTTAGGGGTAGTATATTTTGACCCAAGAAACACGATTATGAGGTTTTTGCGCGAAATTTTTTTTTGAAAATTAGGAATTTTAAAAAAAAAATTGGAATTTTTTTAATTTTTAGTTTAAAAACATACTTTGTAATATGGCAACATAGGTAGTAGATTAAATTTACAAGAAAGAAAATTCAATGATTCTCAAAATTATAGCAAAAAATTGGAAATTTTAAAAGTAAAATAACTCGTTTTTTTTGGATTTATTTGAAAAAAACGTTAAGAGAAAATATTATGTTTCTTTTATCGAGATTTACCAGCCCTGAAAATATTTGCACTTATTTAAGACTCACCCTGTATAGAAATCAGGGAACTATCATAATGCAAGGTAAACCAATGCAATGCAAATGCCATAATGCAATGCAAAAGGAAATATTGTTAAGAATAAATAATGAACTATAAAGAGGGTCCGTGAAGGCTGGGGCCCCCCTAATAGTTAGATATATAATTGGCCAGTCCGACCCTGCGTCGATCCGTTCTGTAAATACTGGGTATCTGTAAAGAAAGGGTAAGGGGAAAAACGAAATTCTGTATACATATATGAACAATTCATCGGCGTGCTATAAATAGTTTAAATAACATTACTTACTTGTACTATACAAGAATTTCCATAATACCTAATCAGTTTTATTTTTTTCAATGTTTTTCCACGCAAATGGTTTTAATAAAAAAATGATTTTTATTAAAATTAAAAAAATAAATAGAAAAGTAATCAAAATTTAATAAAATCACGCACTGTTTTCCAAGCTCGGTCTACTATCGTATAAAAATTGGATAAGCATGGAAGGATTCTACCATATCTTCTAAGATTTAAGTTTAATTTGTAAATTATTTTCATATTCATTAAGTCCAAAATGCTGTTATTTCAGATCTTTAACAATGCATTAAAAATTTATTCGTTTTTAGACTTGTATGTTTTGCTTCTAGATCGACGATATTATAAATAACATATATGGTTATGAATATCATATCTTTTAAATTTAATTTTATTTCTAAATCTGTTTGGGTAATATTCAATTCCATTTTCAAAATTTCAAACAATAAAGGTTGCTATCTCCAGAAGTATATTTTTATTTCTTATTTCTGCAAGACTAATATCTGCTATATCCCTATTGTGTCTGAAAAAAATGATGTAACACGAAATATTGACTTTTATTGTTCCCCAGCAAATAAAATTCTTATTTCTTTATCATATTAATGCATGAAAATACTTCCTACATGTGTACATATTTTTTTGTACCGTTTTTTTGCTCTCCTGTAAAATTAGGAATAATGGAGTTTAGCAATTTATCACATTTCACCGACGATATGAATTTTTATTTAATCGACGCGTTTGAAAGTTATTGAAGGTTAAAATTCAACTTCAAATCGTATATGATAACTTTCACAATGTTTTATATTTCATCACGAAATATTGGCTCATAAACATAAACTATCATAATTTATCACGAAATAATGACTCAAACACAAAATATCATATTTTATGCCATTCGTGAGCCATTTTCGTGAGAAAACCTAAAAAATTGTGGAAGGTATCATATACGATTTGAAGTTGAATTTTAACCTTCAATAACTTTCAAACGAGTCGATTAAATGAAAATTTATATCAGACCTTTTTTGAAGACCGTTCAATTTCCTACAAGAATATGTATTGATTTTTACAAAACGCTGATTTGTCAGAACGCAATAAAATTCCAAAGAAAAATAAATTGTTTCCCCGTGTTATTTAAATGGGAAATAGAAAATCACGATGAGGCTCTTAATGTTACCTCTTAATGCTCACCAAAATACAACCTCTTAATATTAATATTAAAAGCTCAAACTTTACCAGATTTTTTTTGAATCATCCTGAACGATATTTTCACGGTAAATAAAAAGAAAAAAATATATGTTTTTTTTGATGCACCCTAATACATACACATGGCTTTTATAAGTATTTATTGTGCACACTTATCAAGTTAATTCATTAATGTGCTATTCAAATCCCAATAGACCAATTTTATTTTTTTATCTGAAAAAATGCTTATTTGAATAGATTTTGGCAAAAAAGTGAGTAACTGTTTATATGCTATTTAGGCCCGATTGTACGAACGTAGCTTAAACTAGAGCTCATGTGAACTGTGATAAACGCTTAACTCGGCAATTTTATATTATAAGGTATATTTTTCTTGTAGTATAAGATAAGCTTTTTATAATTAAAAGTCCAGTTTCAGCATCAGAAATTGCTGGCACAATTTCAATAGTCAAATACCTAATTTTTGAACTAATTTCAACGATACGAAGTCATTGAACAATGTATTAAAATAAGTCTGAATCACCCTGAACCGAGTATGTACCTACAACCGGGCTTTAAATATTATTAAACATACCCATATAAGCTTTTTTTATCTATTCTGATATGATTCAAGAAGGGGTTGTTCATTTTAAGGCTATCAAATTATTGGACCAGCCTGTACAGGGTGTCCCACTAGGAATAGCTCTCGGCTGTATCTCGGAAAGTATTAGCCGTAGGGGCTGCGGAAAAAAATATTTATAACTAAAGAGGCTATGGGAAATTGCTGGAAATTATTTTCAAGTTTTTAGAACGACCGCTAGGGGGCGCAACTGCAACAAAAAATAAGAAAATGAAGTTTTTACACAATTTTGTTTCAATAAGGTGTACTATAAGTAATAGCTTCATAATCTTCAGTAAATTTTGAATATTTTTTGTTAAAGCCATTTTCCCCTATCTACCAAAATAAAGTGGTGGGGGAAGGTTAGATCTGTTTTTATTTAAATATTAATAACTCTGGACTGGGTGATCGGAATCCAACAAGCGAGCGCTCGTTTAAAAGAGCATTTCTTACTCTATATTGTACCATATAAACAATAATAATAAGCTTTTGAACGTAGACGCTAGAGAACGTTGTCTTACTGGTTGTTGTTAAATTAACCATTGCGCGTTTTTTCAAAAAAATTAAATGCAACAGTGATTGCTTTTTTTATCTTTTGAAGGCATTTTGAAAAAAGCAATTAAAAGATAAAAAAACGCTGATAAGACTATCAAAATGTTGATCTAATACCAATTTGACGTTTATACTATTACGTCAAAAGCAACATGTTTCCAAAGCCTACCATGACTTCACTGAATCATCGTTTCTTGTTCACTGTTATTAATATCTTAATTATTAGATATTAATATCCCTGGTATTATGGTATTCTGGCATTCTGGTATTTCGTCGATTTTAAAATAAACTAACTGTTTCTATCTTATTTTTTTGTTAGAATGGGCATAATTAAGAAGGCTACTGACACCGTGTTGTAAAAATAAGGTAATTAAGGGCTTATTTTTAGGTATTTATTATAATTTTGCTAATATCTTCGATTTGCAAGAAGATATCAAGATGCGGTTTTCGCTGACTTTTTAATCTTTTACTACTCTTTACTATCAGCTAAAATTACATATACTATTGCATTTATTTTTTTTGAAAAAACGCGCAATGTTTGTGAAATTGTAAGACAACGCCCCCTAACGTCTACGTTCAAAAGCTTATTACTATTGTTTATATGGGACAATATAGAGTAAGAAACGCTCTTTTAAACGAGCCCTCGCTTGTTGGATTCCGATCAACCAGTCCGGAGTTATTAACATTTAAATAAAAACAGATCTAACCTTTCCCCACCACTTCATTTTGGCAGATAGGGGAAAATGGTTCTAACAAAAAATATGCAGAATTTACTGAAGATTATGAATCTATTATTTATAGTATCCATTACCTAGGCAAAATTGTGTAAAAACTCCTTTTTCTTATTTTAAATAGCAGTTGCGGCCCTCTAGCGGCCGCTCTATAAGCTTGAAAATAATTTCCAGCATTTTCTCATAGCCTCTTTAGTTATAAATGTTTTTTTCCGCAAGCTCTACGACTAATACTTTCCGAGATACAGCCGAGAGCTATTCTTAGTGGGATACCCGGTACATTAACTGTATGTTAAATGCCGATTTAGAAAAATCTAATGGTACATAACTTTTTTTAACACAGCGCAAATTTACTTTCTATAAACAGTTTAAATAGAATTAAATTTACTTTTGTACACTAAATAAACGTTTTCGATATAGAGGTATAACAAACAATTCACCCAAGTTTCAACAAAGATTTTTTTTCGACTAGTAACATTTAAACTATCAGATAACATTTTTCTGCTTTTAGATATATTAACTGTATAGCTTTAACTCCTTGAATATCATTGTAAATTAACATCTCATTGTATATATCCTCATCATAAAACTCTATTGATTTCTTTATTTTAGCGTGATGTTTATACATGTTTTAACAATTATTTTGTATTTATTAATTAACTAATTGTTTGTTTTGGTACTTTTGTTCCTTCTCTGGACTGTTATTGGCAAATAGATGAATCTCCACTAGCACACAAAGGTATATAATTCTTTTCTACTAATTTACATTTACTATTTTTGTCTTTTCAGATATGTGTTTTGTTAATTTATTTTTAATATCGTCATCTAAAACATGCGAGTTAAATTATTATTAGTAATAAAATAACCATGCAAGTACTGAAATTGATGATATACAAGGTGTTTCAAAAAGCATGTGCTATATCTCTTGGGGAGATTCCTGACGTAAGATTCATCAGGGACGATTCATCGACGTATGGGTTCCATCACTGGAAAATTTTTTGAAAAAAAAACGTGCGCCACTGACTTTTTTTCCTTTGATAGCAAAATTATTGTATAGGCCGTTTAATGTCAATTAAAAATAGGATCTTGTAATTTTATCGATTTCGATCTCCTTGATGGGATTATCGCAATTTTATTAACCACAATTAATAAAATTAATAAATTATTTATTTTATATAATTTATTATTCAATATTATTACTATTAGTTATTATTACTATTAGTCCAACTTAACAGAAAATTCAAATTAAAAAATATTGGAATTTAAGATATAATTGCAAATTATAATTTTAAAAAGTTTTAACATTCTGTAATTTTAAAACTATGCATTTCCGTGCCCATGTTTATAGGAACTTTTTTTCATATTTTTTTGATGAGACATCAGTGAGTATTTATTGAAAACTTTTGCAAATTAATGATATAAATTTTTTTAAAGGTTGCAATTATTTATTTATTATTTTAAGCAAATTAACAACATTGCTTTTATCTCATGATGGAGGCCGAAATCGACAAAATATCTAGAGTCGACTTTTAATTGACATTAAACGGCCTACACTATTTCACCAACAAGAGAAGAAAAATTCAGTGACGTACATGTTTTTTTTTAGAAAAATATTTCGAGGGATGGCACATTTTTTTGAAACGCCCTGTTTATATCAGAATAAATACTTTTTTACCAATATACAACTAATAATTTACTTAACATGTTTTAGATATTCGAATGCTTTAACTTTTTTTTGTTGCTTTAACTTTGTTTCAACTAACTAGTTGAATGCATACCAAAATCTACACACTAAAATTTGTTCATTAAAAGTTAAAGCATTTATGGTTAGTTCTTGTTTGACAATGTAGGTTGTGTAAATCTATTAACAGGTAACAAATATGTTAATTATCATAGACCGTTTTTATTTATGATACAAAGAATACAAGGTATGATATTGCGCAGGTTGGTTACTACGTCACAGGTGATAAACGGCACCATTGGTCGGCAAGCTTCGCGCGCCAATTTCAAATTGTCAAACAGATGACACCTTGATGACACAATAAACGTGAAAATTATTTTTTAAATGTCAAGCTCGATGATTTGACATAACTTTTGGGGTTATATCCTAATTCTTCCTTATTTTAGGTCTTTTTTTATTAGTGGCAATTGAACAATATGGATATTTTTTTGTATGGCGTATGACGTCACAGGTGGTATGCGCAAACTTAACGAAATTGGAGCCGCTATCGATCATATCTAGTTGTTTTTATTTAATTCGCCCGTCAGTGATCTGAGATCACTCACTTCACATTTTTAAATTCTCTATAATTGGTTCAAAATGATCTGAACGACCTGTTAAGTTCACATACCTGTTTAATTTTATTTTTCAAGCTTAAATATTTATTTATTAAAAAAAAAGGTTTTTAAAAAACTTTGTAATACATAACATATTATTTTGTTTTATACATTTCATTGCATCAGTTTGAGCAAATAATTATCCTCAAGTCAATTATAATTACATCAGGTCAATTATAATTGACTTGGTGTAACTCATTTATTTGGTATTTGTACTTTTGTACTAAGTTTAATGGGATGTAGTATCTAAATGGTGACTTATCGATTAAATAGGGCTACATACCTATTTCAGAGATTATTCATAAGGTTTAAAGGTGCAATAAAAATTAATATTTATTAATTCCTGTTCTCAAGGTCTAAATTGAGTGTCTACACTTGCTAGCTCTCTGCAATGATCTAATTTAGCTTCTATTTAGTTATGCAATAGTTAAATACCCATTTAGATACCTGTGATGTTGAAAACAATATTAAATTTACCCTATGAAGTTATCTAGCAAATTATTTTACGAAATATCGAGACAATGATAACGCATATTTTAAAATACTTTTGTTTCCATACAAATAGTAAATTACATCAGATCTATTTTATACACTGAAATTGTTATATTTTAAATGGAATACTACAAGCTACCCAACGAGAGGATCTCTGACAGTGACAGTTGGGTTATTTTAATTGACAGGCAAACTGTATTTTCTGTCATTTTTTGGTTGTCCTCTGTCGAAATCTTTCCTGATTCTTTGGACAGACTATATACTATTTCTGAAAATACCCTAATGTCATCTTCTAAAATATAATATTCTTTTGAAATATGGCCATTTTCAAATGAACTTTTCTTTTACAGTTCTTTCGAAATTAGAAAACCTATAATTAATGACATTTTTTAACTGGAAGTATTTTGTAATAATATCCTCTTCAAAATTTATCATACTATATTATATTTGCTTTATTGGTTTGTATAAAAAAAATAAAAGATTTTTCTCCGCTATTTCAAAGTCCATTAGTTTTTGCCGAAGTATAAGATTTATTTTTTGCTTTTTATACAGATGTTTGTCTTTAAAATGATTGAAATTTGTTAGTCAGGCTCGTACAATAATTGTATACCAATTAGGGAATCCTACCAACTGCGCCACATTACCATATACATAATTACACACATTAATCAGGAACCAAAAATCAGTTTGCAAGTCGGATGCCTCATAACATGAAAAGATTTTTTGAAAAAATAATTAATTTATACAGTGAACAAGAAAGAAAGCATTTTGAGCATTTGATTTCGTCTAGCTAATTTTTGTCATATGTTTATATCTAGTTTTAATTCTGTAATAATTAAAATGTTTTAAATGTGTATCTTCTTATTACCATTGAATATTTTACTCTACATTCTTTAATTTTTGTTAACTTAAGCCACCTAGATTTTATCAAAACAAATATATACAGACGGAAAATCATAAAGATGGAAATATCTAGGAAAATGTTTGTCTAAGGGGTAGGCAATATAACCTTAATAGTATTTTAAAGATATATGAATTCTCCATTGAATATCGGAATAATATGCTAGGTATTCCCTGTAAAATAAAGAAGTAATTTGCTTTTAAAAGTGACCTACATAAATTTTAACCTATCTATATGCTCCCAAAATTTTATTTCGATATAAACTACCGTTCTCCTTTGATCTTACGCATTGTATGAGAGGCGCCACCCTTTATATTAAGATAAACATTTTTAAAATCACCGTTACTACTGCATTTTAAAGGTAAATATCAAAATAGCTGTCTATATATTACACATTGCACTGTGGTAAAATATTATTATTTGTTAATAGAATTACACGCAAAGACTTATTTTAGTTGTGTCTTGTATTTTAATCTTTTGTTGTTTTTTTTTCTTTTTATTTTCCTGGGACCCTTGTTGCAAGCAGACGCGGAGAAAGATCCAGGTAGTTACTTTTTTGACCTTTATACAATGCTTGTAACAGTGTGTTCGTTAAAAAATGTTGATTTAAATGATTGATTCTCAAAACATTTTGTAATGAATATGCTTTTCTTTAAATTTAACATGCTTTTTGGGCTTTTAAGTGTTAATATTTGGTGCTTGATCGGACTCAGCTCGTGATTCTATGATAACCACAGGTGGTGAAGGACAAATAAACATTCTACTTTTTTTTCTTTGTAATAATGGTAAGTATTTAACTTTACTCTATTAACAGGAAGGTACTTTTTAGAAGAACATAAACACATCTTACTAGATACAGTGTGACTTACACCAAGTGAAGGGAAGGAAAGTTTTAAGATCTGAATATTTACATTTAAAAAACATATCAGTTCACTAATTCAATTTCGTCTCATTTGGGCTGTGTCAAAGGATAAACTTGTCATTAAATTAGAATTTGCAATTTCCTCTATTTTTTATACAGGTTTACTGACTTTACAAATCTTCATTTTTTTAGTAAATCACACTATATGTCCCCGGATTGCCTTTGCAAGAAGAAAAACTTTTTTTATTAACATTTGAGAAAAATACAGTCTTTGCTTGTTCTAAAATGGTTAATCTCGTTTATGCTTTTCCAAATTTGCATATGGTTTTAGAGAAAAATAATCAAAAAATGAAAATATGTATAGTTATTTTTTTTTTCAAAGTCCTAAAAATCAAAACGCCTTTCTATGGTATTTAATATCGTTTTAAGGTTTTCATTCTTTGATAGATGGATATATTGATTTTCATTAACGTCATATTTTTTGCTCTTTTGATATATTATAAGAAGCCCAAAATTTATTTAGTTCATTGCGAATAGGTGATGAATGAAATTTTGTGTTTCTAACATTTAAAAACAGCAAAATATATTACCTTAATCAAAATTAATAATAACCTTCTATCGAAGAACAAAAATGAAATAATATTAGATACGATAGAAACGCATTTTCGTTTTTGAATAAAAAATTAAACTATATTTTCATATTTTTTTTTGTTTTTCTTTAAAACAGAATGGAAAACTGGCAAACATTTTTATGAAGATTTTTCTCAAAAATTAATAATAAAAAGTTTTTTCGCTTGTAAAGACAATCCGGGACATACTGTATACAGTTTAGATGACAAAAGCTTATTGATACACACATATCCGTAATGCTTTCAAAGTAAGCCTTGGTGACATAATTTATTTGACATACATGTATTTATATGCTTTTGAGCAACTTTTAGTGATTTGTACAATATGTACTTTTCAGTTGTTCCAAAAATAATTCGCATAAATAAAATGCAAAATAATTCTGTGCAAATAGTTGATCAATTTTATGAGATTCAAACCATTTTTTTTTGATAACGATGATTAAAGAATCTCATAAAATTAAATAACATTAATTTAAATACTGCAAAGGTGGTGGTAAACAATCTTTTGCAATACAGGATGGCAAAATAAAACTAACTGTTGTAATACTTTTATTGTTATTGCTTTAACGTTATTTTGCATCGTCCTTACAAACACACCGTGTTATCGTTTTTACTTCACATATTTTGTTTGATATGCCAAAAAGAATTAGTTTCTTTATTGACGCATTTCAGTCTCATCCTGTATAATTGCTCACATTATATAGCACAAATTCCTAATTAACAGAATAATCTATTATAGATCACAGACCTCATGGCAGAGTAGAAATTCCAAGTATTCCCAGATCTGGTTCAACTGAATTTGAACCGCTAGAAGACAAGCAAGTGGAATACTTCTTTGCATCTGATGCTTCTGCTATTATAGAGCATACAAACCGTGTTATTTATTTTGAGGTAAACAACTTTGAATGCTTTGTTCTCAATTGATCTATAATCTAAATTCTGAGTTTATTATGTTTTATTTGAATTCAGCTTAAAATCTGAACAGTATACCGGGTCTTTCTCAAAAGTGGCTCACCCTTATAACTACCCACTATTCAATTCATTCCGGTCACTTCCTGTTTCACTTGAAATTATTACAATTTTTTATTTTTAAATAGCACCAACAGTATTTCTTAACTTTATTCGATAGAATGATATAGATAGAAAAAGACTAGAATAGGATGACTTATCATATGTCAACTTTTGACCTTCTCTCTTAAAAAGAATTGTATTTTAAATTTCAATCTAGAGTGCCATGGCTGTGTTAAAAACACTATGTTTTAACCAAAGAGCCTTGGAAAAATAGATTTAATCGTCTAATGTTTTTCGTGTCTTGTCCTGGATAGTTAAAGATCCCCAAAAATTTTTAATCATAACTCACTTTTTTCAATTGGAACAAGGGTGGCTTATTAGCATATTTGGAAATAGCATTTTTTTCGAATAATGTGGAATACGTCAATCAATCCAAATTTATGTTCACATATTAACATGCCAAATCTAGTTTTTTTATATAAAAAAATATGACAATTATAGGGGTGATCCACTTTTGAGAAACACCCAGTATGATAGGTAACTCTATAGACCATCATAACCAAGTCATCTACTCAAATACTACTAAGTGTAGTTAATCCAGCGTGTGAAGCCACGATTTCGACAGACGACATACCAAAATTGACAGAAAAACAATTTAACTTTGGTTCAGAACGACAGACCATAACTGTCATTGTCATATTTTCTCGTTCAACATATCATAATTTAAAGACCATAACCTGAAGATTAGAACATTAGATCTAAATATCTAACATTGTTAAATAAAGAAACTATCGACTGTTAACGTTATTACATTTTAGCATTTTCTTTTAAGATTATTGAAGAAGTTTGCAAATTAGTAATCTCTTTTATTTTTTGATTTAATAAAGTTTGAACCTTAAATGTTTAGAGCATCAAATAATTTGAAATAAAATTAAAAAAGAATTAATAAAAAAAATAAAAAATAATTTATAATTTATTTATGAATCATTTCTGTTGATACTGCTATTAATCCATACAAGAATTATATGAATTTTAAAAGAATTTACATAGAAATTAAAAATAAAGTGCGTCTAGTAAGAGAACTCATCCAATTACAGAAAATACAATTTACTTCTGAATTAAAAGATAACAACTGTCGCTTATACAAGGTGAGTCTTAAATAAGTGCAAATATTTTCAGTGCTGGTAGATCTCAATAAAAAAAACATATTTTCTCTTTACCGTTTTTCAAATAACTCCAAAATAACCGAGTTATTTTACATTGAAAATTTATGAAAAAAATGATTTGTTGGTTAAATTTTGAGAACCACTGTATTTTTTCTCGGTTTTCTTCCTTGTAAATTTAATCTACTACCTATGTGGCCATATTATGAAGATATTATGATTTTTAACTTAAAATTACAAGAATTCCCAAACTTTTACTTCAAAAACTTAAAAAATTTTCGCGAAAAAAAACTCATATACGTGTGTCTGGGATCGAAATATACTACCCCTAAAAATATTTGCACTTATTTAAAACTCACCCTGTATAATCCCTCGTTGGTCTATTTCTTATTAAATTAAACTCGATGTAAATTGTTTATTTATTTTATAAACTCATAACCCTTCTACTATATTTACCGATTATTGTATGTTAATATAACAATTATTCGAAAATAGGATGACGATATTGCGGCTGTAAGAAATGGAATACTGAGCATTCACAGAGTGAGAAGGGGAATGGATGATCCCAACCATCGTGAAATTACCACTTTAAAAATGGAATTGCAACAAATAATGAAAGGAAACTATGACTACTACATGCAGAAAGAAATCTTTGAACAGCCTGAATCTGTAGTTAATACTATGAGGGGACGCGTTAATTTTGAAACTAAGGTAAGTTGCTCATAATTATTGAACAGAAATAACTTAATATTAATATGACTGAACTGAATTCCAGTTAATCAGTACTATACTTTTTTAAATAAGTTAAAATATAAAGGAGGGTATACTCAATATTTGCTGGGTTTGTTTTGCTTGTACTTAAGTTACTTAGTTATTAAAATTGTTAAAAAAATAATTTTAAGTTTGTAATAAAAATAAATAAGTTAATACCGTCTGGTCGAAAAAAAACGAGGTCAAGTTGGCTTGGAAAAGGAAAAAAATATCGGCATAGCGAGATAGAGAGTACCGCAGGCACGGGTTTCTGGCTTATGGTCTTCACCAGTATCCAAGTCACTTGATGATAATTTGGATTGTGGACTTCGTCCAGAACGGCTGTGTAGGTAGCCAACAGCAACCTGTTCAGTACCCTTAGCCGAGTAACGATACCAAAACCTTCCTTTTAATATACTTTCCCACAATTTATCTCTTCTTTTTTTGTATTTCCTATATAATTTTCCATATAAAATACCTGCGATCTTCATTTGAAAACCATCGCTCGCGCTGTTTTTTTTTGTTGATCATATTGTATAATGAATAAACCCTCATTCAGAACAATCAGAACCTCTAAATTAGTGGTTTCAATTACACTTTATACATAAAAATTTAGGATCATTCACAATGTCCAAAAAATACAATTAAAATTAACAGAATATTCTACAACAGTTTGCGGTAGTCACTTGTATCTCTTTAGAAAGCCTAATCATTACTAAACAATAAACGTTTTATTTCCAACTATTAGGGTTTACTACTCGTTATATAATTAATTAATAATAAAATGTTGTTCCATTATTTTTCATGTATTTAGGTTAGGAACGGTCGGAAAATTTTCAATAATCTCACTGTAATTCATTTATACACTTTGCATAAACTATTTATAACATAAAAAAATAAACAGAGAAACACACAACTAAACAAACAAAAGAACGTTTTAACAAAAATTAGAGCTGTCAAAAGAAAAGGCAAACAAAACTATCAAAAATGAGGTTACGTTGCTGTCGGCTCTAATGTATGAATATAAAAATAATATTTGACTCCTTCCTTAGTTTTTTTTATTCAATGTTTATAGTCCTAAATATTTTGTAATAAAAATTATAATTTCTTGTTAAATATTTTGTAAATTATTCTATTTTTAGACGGTTGTCTTAGGAGGTATCAAGGAACACATTCCAGAAATCAAACGGTGCCGAAGACTTATGCTTATCGGATGCGGCACTTCGTATCACAGTGCTATAGCCACACGTCAGCTTCTTGAAGAATTGACTGAACTTCCAGTAATGGTGGAATTGGCTAGTGACTTCTTAGACAGGACAACGCCTGTATTTAGGGACGACGTATGCTTCTTTATTTCTCAATCAGGTAACTGTGGTCCATATATATTTTTTTTTTGATGAAGAATTTTGGTAGTAACCTGGATGTAATATATTATTTGATAGAATGGATATTTTCATACTGATTAATCAAAAGAATAGAAATCGACAATGAATTTACTACAAACCTTCTTAGTTTCAAAATAGTGATATTAAGGATAATTAAAATTAAGTCAGTTTTGTAAAAATATGATTTCTACATTGTAGTTTTTATGGAAGGGGGGAAGTTAATTATTGTGACCTTATAGCATTAAAACAAAAATCCCAAGCATTTTTTCTAAGCATTCTTTGTCCAACTTCGAATTATTGATTACTGATACGAATAAGATTACTGAGTTGATCGATTTTAATGGTGCTTGATTATCGGATAAGATGGCTATTACTTGTTTCCAATTCCTAGTTCCTTTCAATAAGTTGATAAGTTGTACGCATCTGGATAAGTTGTACGCATCTTTCGATAGCGTAGATTTCAGCTTGAAGAATGCTGAGGTAGGTGCCCGTTGGTTCGTACTATTTACTTTTCGGCCCAAATGCCCCTATCCCTGTTTCTGCTTTGTTTTTGGAAGTATCATGAATGTCATTTATACCACGTAGACCATACTATAAGTCTTTTACCTGCCGGGCAAACTTCTCTCTTCCAATTATTCTTATTGCTCAATACTACAATGGGGTGTTTCTCAAAGTTCCTGAGTTGACAATTCTCCCATTACTATATCTGTCAATGACCATTCTAATCATTGTCGCATAGGCATATCTACCGATGACAATGTGCAGTGGTGTTAGGTCTAGAGTGACCTCCATTGCTGCAGTTGGGCGGGTCGTCATGGCTTCTGTGATGCAGATGCATACCAGTCTCTGCATTTTGCACGTGTTTTGCCTTGTTTTACGGTACTCTAGTTTTGCTTACCAAGCTACTGCTCCATAAGTAATCATGGGTCTTACTATCATGCTGTACATCCAGCGCAAAATGTTAGTATCTATAAAAATATGAGTTAGTTCATATACTTAGACCTTATCCTATACTTATTTGTGCGTTCTTAATATTGCATCAAAAGTTGTAAATCTATTTCTATAGTAAGTTAGAGTCTAGTCTGCTCAACGAGAGGATACATGACAGTGACAGTGCTCTGACAACGTCTGTCATTGTAATTCACAAGTAATTTGTATTTTCTGTCATCTTTTGGATGTCGTCTGATGAAATCTTCCCCGGCGCGCTGGACAGACTTAAGTTTCATTCAGAACCTCCCAATTAGTGGAATAAATTAGTGGTTTCATAATTAGAATTAATAGAATATCCTAGCAACAGCTTGCGGTAGTCTGTTGTATTCATAGAGAAAGCATAATATTTAGCTTATAAAACAATCAACTTTTGATTTCTAACCAAAATTTTTCTTGACTGGTGATAATCAAAGGCCAAAATGACATTCCTCGCAAATTTTGAAGTATAATTAGTGGAAAACTCAAAAGTTTGTTAACTTTTTCCGATAATTGAAAAGTACTACCACTAATTATGACGTTCTGAACGCTTACATTAAAATTAGGTGAACAAACTTGCTTACGGCTAATTGAAACTACTAATTTATTCCACTGATTTCGAGGTTCTGAATGAAGCTTTAATCATAAAATTATTTTTTGTACTTAGTATTTGCCTTGGTTCCTATAAGTTGTCAGTAAATATTTTTAACGAATTCCCTTGTTCTAGGTGAAACTGCTGACACATTAATGGCGTTGCGCTATTGCAAACAAAGAGGTGCCCTCATCGTGGGTATTACCAATACCGTCGGCAGTTCAATCTGCAGAGAATCACATTGCGGTGTACATATTAATGCTGGTCCTGAAATCGGTGTAGCTTCTACTAAAGCTTACACTAGTCAGTTTATTTCGTTGGTTATGTTTGCCTTGGTAATGAGCGAGGATAGATTGTCACTGCGTAAAAGGAGAGAAGAAGTAAGTATTTTTTGCTTAGTTTTTTTTACAGTTTGTTCATCATATCCTTTTACAATAATATATACAGGATGTAAAGCACTAAATATGAAAAAAGTTTAGGGTTCGAGTAATCGCGAATCTACTGTATATGGTTGTATGATTAAATAATACCATTAATATTTGTTTTTCAGATCATCGATGGACTAAAGAATCTTCAAGAGCAAATTCGTAAAGTTCTGTCGTTAGATGGAAAAGTGAAGAGTTTAGCTGAAAACTTATTTAACAAAAAATCGTTACTTATTATGGGTAGAGGATTTAATTACGCAACATGTTTAGAAGGCGCATTGGTAAGTTGCATTTTTTTAAGCGGTTATATCTATCTATTCCTCGCATAAACAAATTATTTTTCGAGATTATTGTGCATAGTTTAGTTTGAGACATTAGTGTGCATAGAGTGTAAATTGTAAAGGAAGAGAAGTGGATATTATTTAGAATAGAGTTGTTTAGATTCGTGAGCTACCCACACTTAAGAGTACTTCCATACTTTGGGGTGCACAACCTTAGAAAAAAATGGTCACGCAAGCACGTCCAAAAAAGACTCTTTTTTATAGCCAAAAAGGCTACCAAATAGATAAAATCTACGTTAAGGGATCATATTTTTTAAAAAATTAGAAACCCCATCTACCAAAATGTATTGCTCCTAAATATACACGCTAATGTCCTTTTTGTAGTTAGTGGAAGTCCCCCAATCCGACGGTGATAATTACAATCGCGACCTGCAAGTGTGCGGGTTGCATATGTATACGGGCCAGATCGAACGTCTCTGTTCGCGGCGATCAAAGGGTGTGGGCGGTAAAACTTTGACCAATTAGATCTAATATTCTGATGAGCAGCGAACGAAGCAATCAGGCAACGCGGTCAAATAAATCTGACGAAAGATGACAACATGCGTGAATCTGGCACGTTACGCATATTCGGCATTAGTATTAGTGTACGTGCACATCATATAGTTATAAACTCTATACAGATTATCGCCTATCCCTGCAATGTGTTGGAGTTGAAGCCGAGTTAGAGACAACTAGATAACCGATCCATGGATATTTCACATAAGTTCGTCTGTTAGGCAGACACCGGCGCAAAATTCCGAATGTCAATTAGCCCTTACTGTGGGGATTAGCTAATTTGTCGATACCAAACGAAAACCGTACGCAGTTGGACGAAGCCGTACGAATGAACTGCTGGTGCTAGAGTCTAGTCTTTTATTAGTCTAGTTATCCGATCGATAATTCAAAATCCAGGCTTGCGTATTACGCTTGAGCACGCCTAACTGAGCGACTTATGCAAATTCCTTCAGAAGATTTATATACCCATTTCACCGGCTCGGCTTCACAGAATGCAGTTTGGGGTCCATATAGTTTATAAATATACTTTATAAATATATGGTGCACATACAAGGCGGAAGCAAGCGAGACCTTGGCGGGGAAAAACCAATAGATCTCAATGCGTGTGTGCATACTTGAGGCATGGCTGACCGAGACGTTGCGAATTGAACCTATACAGGGTGTCATTGAAATGGTGTAAAAAAAATCGGGGGGTGATAGTACTCCTAAAAATAGTAAAAAAAAGTTCCTATAAGTATAGGGTGGAAAATGCATATTAAAAGAGTTAGGGGCACTGAAAGGGTGAATTTAAAAAACGGTTGTTTTGAAATTGTAGGCTTAAAAAACGAGATAAAATTTCGAAAAAAAAAACCTGCCATTATTTGGAAAAGCGGAAAGGGTAGTTTTTGCAAGGGTAGGGGATTGTTTCGCGAATAACTTTTTTGGGGTTATTTTTTTTTTGCAACGTGGCTTTATTTTTTTAAAACTACATACTTTTTCCTACAAAAAGGGTATTCTTGTTTCACATCGCCCAGAGCGATGGTTTTCGAGAAAATTGAAGGCAAAGAGTTTGCTCTGATGGGTTGCTAACTGGTTAATCAACATAAACTTATGAAAGTTATGGCGGTTCAAAAGTAACCAAGTAGTTATTAAATAATTAATTGGAAAATCATAAATTTCATGATATTTAAAACATCTTATCGCTTTAAAAACGAAATAAACTTTTTTGGTTTTAAAAAAAAATTGGTTTACTTAGTGCCGATTAATACTGAAGAGCAACTACGGCAACGCATTATTGACTGTTCCAATCAAATTCGGACAACACCAAGGATATTCCACAGGGTACGCAGATCGTGGAGAAGAAGATCAGATGTCTGCATTGAAGTGAATGGTGGTCACTCTGAACATTTACTATGAATGAATTAAGGACTGCATTATTTTAATATTGAATTTTGGTAATTGGATTATTTCGCTTTTTAAAGCAATAAGATGTTTTAAAAATCATGAAATTTTAATTTTTTAATTAATTATTTGATAACTACTTGGTTACTTTTGATCCGCCATAACTTTCATAAGTTTATGTTGATTAACCAGTTAGCAACCCATCAGAGCAAACTCTTTGCCTTCAATTTTCTCGAAAACCATCGGTCTGGGCGATGTGCAACAAGAGTACCTTTTTTGTAAGAAAAAGTATGTAGTTTTCAAAAAATGAACCCACGTTGCAAAAAAAATAACCTCAAAAAAGTTATTCACGAAACAACCCCCCACCCTTGCAAAAACTACCCTTTCCGCATTTCCAAATAATTTTTCAGTATCACCATTTGATTTAGGGTCAAAATTTATGACAGAGGATTTTTTTTCGAAATTTTATCTCGTTTTTTAAGCCTACAATTTCAAAACAACCGTTTTTTAAATTCACCCTTTCAGTGCCCCGAACCTTAATATGCATTTTCCGCCCTATACTTATAGGAACTTTTTTTACTATTTCTAGTAGTACTATCACCCCCCGATTTTTTTTACACCATTTTAATGACACCCTGTATATACCGCTCCTCTCCGTACCCTCTTACTCGCTTCCTCCTTGTATGTGCACGAACACTAATATAGAAATTTAGACTTTTGTTTAGAAAGTAATGTTTAAACCTTAGCGCCATATCGAAAAATAACCAATGTTTTTGTGAATCGAAAAATTACCAGGAACATTGCCCCGATTCTGCTTTGTAATGCCGCATATGCGGTCGCGGCATAAGAGTACTTCAATTGGTGGTTTTTCGATATGGCATTAAAATTTATACATTACTTTCTAAACAAAACTCTAAATCTCTATATTACTGTTCGTGCACACACAAGTAGGAAGCTCCAGGGGGTTAGTCTTATTTTTTTTCGATTTTATTATAATTTTCTTTCAAGTGCTTTTATCGATTCAAATGAAATTTTGATGGTAAAAGTTACTATAAGTGTTACATATTTTAGTAGTAAAAAAGTGTCGATAGATTCACCAGGGATGAGCTTATGGGTCATCACTGGAATATTTTTCTAAAAAAAACTGTGCGCCAATTACTTTTTTCTCTGTTAATTGTGATTAATAAAATTGCGTTTATCTCATCAAGGAGATTGAAATCAAGAAAATATCGAAATATAACTTTTAATTTGCATGAAACGGCCTATACAATTTTGTTAAAAAGAGAAAAAGTCAGTGGCGCACATGTTTTTTTTAAGAAAAATATTTCATTGATAACCCATATACACGTCCCTAGTGAATCCGTTGACACTTTTTTAGCATTAAAATGTCGCACTTGTAGTAATTTCTATCCTCAAAATTTTAATGGAATTGTTAAAAGCACTTAGAAGAAAATTATAATAAATCACACTATTTATTTTATTATAAAAAATAAAAATTAACACAAGAATCACCCTGTAGCAACGACGCAAAGCTGAATCGGACCTATGTTCGTATAAAAAATAATTGTTGTTTTTACGTGGGGATTCTCCCCACGAGGATGGCACTTTTTTTTGAAACACCTTTTTACAAGAGTTGGCTCTCATTTTAAATTCGCAAGTAAATTGTGTTTTTTTCTGTCAATTTTTGGACCTTGTCTCAAAATTTCTCATTCCCTCGTTAGACAAACTTTAATCTTGAAACATAGCCTGATGTATATTTTTTAATTTTAGAAAGTTAAAGAATTAACTTACATGCATAGTGAAGGAATTATGGCAGGTGAACTAAAACACGGACCATTGGCTCTCATTGACAATAATATGCCCGTTATCATGATTATTACAAGAGACCCAGTATATGTAAAATGCATCAATGCTTTGCAGCAGGTAAGGGTATTATAGTTTACTGTATAACAAATCTTGATAATTTTATTTACTATAATATTAAACATCAGACATTCACAATATGAAGATAGAAATTTAGACCTAGTGATTCTAAATTGATGGTCTGGTCGTCTATACAAACCCAACCCAGAAGTAATTTTGACTAATAGTCCAAAACAGTTTCTACAATGCTAATATCTCACATAACATTTTACATTCTTTTGGTTTACCCGCTTAATTTCAATTTATTTCTACTTCGTTAAATTTTAATCATGCCTACCATGTGTAGGAACTTACAACCCAGCATTTCTTTCTATCTTTATCTAGAAACTGACTATAGCATAAGTCATTTACTTTGATCCTTGTTTTTCTTTTTAAAATGCAGAACATTGACTTAAAGTCCCGTTCTCAGAACATATCGGCTATCGCCAGCGACACGTCAAAAGAACCAATCAGATTTGTACAAAATTCAAACAGCTGTCAATTTTAAATTTTGTGCAAATCTCATTGGTTCTTTTGACGTGTCGCTCGACACTATATCGCTATATCAATTTTTTTTGAAAATACTGGTGGTATTTGAGTAAAAAGATTAGTAAAGAGCTATCAACAAACTTAGGTCGAGCTTGATATGGAATTAATATGGCTGACTTAAATTCCGGTTTCAGTACGATTTTAATTTATTATTTAAAACATGTAAAAATATAATGTAGGTTAGTTAGACTCAATAATTTGTTGCAGAATATCTAGCTACGCAACAGAAGCCTCGTTACATGTATAAAATTGTAGGTATCAAAAGGAGACAGGCTTTTAAAGCCTGTCTCCAAATCAGATATTTTGATGCGGTAGTTTCGCTACTACATAATAGAGGGCGATAAATTTTTTAAAAGAAAATAGTTTTCTACAAACGAAATTTAAAAGTATTTTGTGCAGTGTTGCCATTGTTTAATTCATATTGTAATACTTCCTGATAAAGTCTACCTTCAATTTGCTACATCATTTACTATATCTTTGGTGACATTGTAATATGATAGAACGATGATGCATATAAAGTGGTACCTTCTATCATACCATATTATGATACTACTTCCTGACGTTCGATTGAGCTCATATTTGACATATAATTTCGTATTTTTGATGACATATCAAGTGGAACTATAATATAGTACCACTTGATATAATAATATTATATATAAATATATAACTTAATTAGTGTATATTAAAAATGTATTTTTTGAGTATATGTTTTGTAATAATATACTTAAAACTATTTTAAAAGCCAAACGAATAATTAACATAAGTGTGTCTGACAAGAAAAGAAGAATAGAAAGAAACTATTATACACCAGAAAAAGAATGGGATGCCAATTAAAGTATTTTTGAATCTGGCAACTGTGCATACTTAGACGAGCTTCAAGGGTGTCGACGTGCCGTCGATCTAAAACATATCTAAAACCGAAAGTTCAAAATTTCCAATTTTATTCTGATTATAATATTGTCGCGCCATCTAGTATTTTATTTGTGCAATTTTAGCTCTTTCATTTCGAGTATTTTTCTGTTGCGTAGCTAGTTATTCTGTGGTTTTAGTCTCCTTCCTTAATTTTTTTATTCAAAGGCTGATAGTAATATTTGCTAAATTGTAATTGGTAATATGACTAAATTTTTGTTTGTTCTTACTAGGTAAAGTCACGTGAGGGAGATCCGATTTTAATTTGTGAAGAAGGAGATTCTGAGACGATCGCCTTTGCGAGCCAATATTTAGAGGTACCGAGAACAGTCGATTGCTTACAAGGAATCTTAACTGTCATTCCTATGCAACTCTTATCTTTCCACATTGCTGTAAGACGAGGCTGTAATGTTGATTGTCCCCGTAACTTAGCTAAGAGCGTTACCGTAGAATAATATTAAATAAAACAACATCCAGGGTCCATCATAACACTTCAACATGTCAATATCAAATGTGCTTTTACTATAATGGTATTATCAATTTATAAAAATTGAACCTTAATTATGTGAAATTATGTACATTATCTGGAAAATAAGACTATAAAATTACGTTTTATCTCTTCAAAGTATTAAACCTTAGATCTCAATAAGAGAGAACATATATTCAATATAGAATAAGTATTATTTGAGATTATAAACTGTTAATACACGATACTGTTTTAAATTCCAAATTATGCGTTTATTTTTATATCAACTTATGTTTATAAAACTTAGAAATAAATCCAATTATTTACTGCAATATTGTTGAGTCAAAATTGTTATAAATGTTAAGTTTATATTTTTTATATTTTATTCTATATCCTAATTATTATATATGTGTATAGATATAAGAAATAAACTGTATAATTGAATTCTTAGAACGTTTTATTTGTTTCTCGTCAGAGAAAATAATATTCACACATTGGCAAACGAGTTTTACAAACCTAGCCTCAATTATCTGAAGATTTGTCAAATATAATAAAATTTAGACAGTGACGGAGAAATTTTTATTAGTTTAGGTTTATATGCATTTTCTACTATGTTAGCATTTTATTTCTCTTACTTTTAACTGGCTATAACATTATGTTTGGAGATACAACATCCATTAAAAAATATTTTTTAACTAAAACATATAAAAATATGGTATAAACTTTTTTTAATGGGGACACCCTGTCTAAGTATGTGTGTATTGGATAGCACACTTCTGATTTGAAACATATAGGCTTGGTGCATTCCAGTCGATTATTAAAATTTCGAGAGCAACGGTCCGTACGGCAGAATTCATAACTTTCCGGTTCTGCGTTTCACGCAGTCTCTTTGTCATATATTTAAGTAAGCAAAGTGAGCAAACAAAGTGCCAATTAGATAATCAAAATATTAAATAGATATGTACAGTGTGGCGCCTCTCATACGCCGCGGAAGCTCCAAGGAGAACGGTAGTTTATATCGAATTGAAATTTTGGCAGCAAATGTAGATTAACTGAAAGCATTTTATAAAAATATATATAATTATACAGGGTGTCCCCCCAAAAAGTTACACATCAAAGTTGTGTTTTTTCTAATGGAACACCCTATATATTAATTGATTTTCGGATTCTAGGAAAAAAATTAAGGTGAGTTTTATTAAAGAAGCATATACCTAAAATCTAAGGATTTTGACATATTTCACATTTTGTGAAAATGAAGAGTAAATTTTAAATTTCGATAACAGCTACTTAAAATTTAGTTGACCATTGTATGTTAAACCAAATTGAAATTTGATCCGAGAAGTTATACAGGGTGAGACAAAATTAATATGGAACATTAGTCACATTTAAAAGCAAGTTACTCATTTATTTTAAATGGAACACCCAGTATAGTTTTCCGGTATTCAATGGGGAATTTAAATATCTTCAAAATATTATTAAGGTTGCCTACCCCGCAGACAAAGATTTTCCCAGATATTTTAATTTTTACGATTTTGCATCAGTAAATCTTTATTATTTGAAAAAATATAGGTGGCTAAAATAAAGGTATATCACACATACCTTTTGTTCATTTAACAAAAATTAAAGATTGTAGAGTAAAATACTCAAGGGTAATAAAAAGATACACGTTTAAGACATATTTTAATTATTACAGAATTAAAACTAGATATAAACCTATAATTATGCAACAAAACTTAGCTAGATGAAATCAAATGCTCATAATGCTTCCTTTCCTGTTAACTAAATAAAATGATTGTCTTTTCAAAAGAATCTTATCATTTTAAAACGCATATGTGGAGTTATACCAGGTTATACCTCGAAAAGCAGCTACAATATCTCTCATGTTGTCGACACTACTTGGTCGGGTTTTGTAAACACTGTCTTTAACATATCCCCATAAAAGAAACCCACACTAATGATAATAAAATCATATAATATAATAAAATCAGGAGCATTTAAGTATTCTATTAATTGGTGAATGCACACTGCATTCACCAACTAATAAAATCATATCAATTCAAAGTTACGTCAGATATATCACAGCCACCTAGATTTTATCAAATAATAAAGATCTACTCAGATCAAATCATGTAAATGAAAATATCTAGGAAAAACCAAACCAAACCAAACCTTAATAGTATTTTGAAGAGACATGAATTCTCCATTGAATATGGGAATAATATACTGGGTGTTCCATTTAAAATAAGAGAGTAACATGGTTTTAAAGGTGACCATTATTCAATATTAATTTTGTCTCTCCCTGTATAACTTCTTGGATCAAGTTTTAATTTGATTTAAAGTACAATAGTTAATTTAACTACATATTAGGTTATACCGGGTAAATTCCAATTTAGGTAGCTTTTATCGAAATTTAAAATTTACTCTTCATTTTCATAAAATGTGAAATATGTCAAAATCCTTAGATTTTGGGTATATAGTTCTCTTATAAAACTCACCTTTATTTTTCTCCCAGAATCCAAAAATTAATTAATATATAGGGTGTACCATTACAAAAAACAAAACTTTGATATGTAACTTTTTTTGGAGACACCCTGTAGAACTCTCTATATTTTTAAAAAATGCTCTGAATTAACCTACATATGCTCACAAAATTTCATTTCAATACAAACTGTCGTTCTCTTTGGAGCCCCCGCGGCGTGTGAGAGGCGCCACCCTGTACTATGAGGATAAAATATAATTCAATCAATATTAATAGTATACATCTTTTTAATCAACTGGATTTAATCAACATACCTTAAAAAAATTCGTTAAGTGCAGATCAAACTAGATAGCCCTAGTTATGTCCCAACTAGTAAAACCAGTGCATAAAATGTGATCGCTACCGTAGTTGAAGCAGCTGGCGTTATTACTAATCTAAAAAGTTTTATTAGCTTGAATAATAAATTATAATACGTTAGACCTTGAAGATAATCAAAATATTTGCATTTCTATTTTTTTAGAATTTCCACAATAATTGTACTTACTAATACTTTTTAAATAACAAATTTTTCTTGTACTCGCCATAGAGAAGAACTCCCTTTTAAACCTGTTTATTTGTTTGGCGCCTTTTAACGGTATTCTCCGATGGTGGCAGCACCGGCGGAGAATACACCAAGCCTGTATTAGTATATGCTCTTTGTTATTATTACATTTATATAAATTTGATATGGGTAAAAACTGTACACCGACTCGACATTTCTGACTTTGGATGCTGATTTTCGTGTGTTGTCTCTCCGACTTACCAAGACTTCACTTGCACCTAAGACTGCACTTGCCGATAGGGTATAATTTAAAAATTGGTGGAGCAAAATAAAACAAGTTATTTTATGAAGAAACGATATTTTTATTGCTTTATTATAATTATATATACACTCATATAAATTAAATAAAAATGTATTATTAAAAATAAAAAATATAAACTGATAAACTTTCTCTTAATCTATAATATCAACTAAGTCTGAATCGGACACCAACAATAGAAGAAATACTTGTACAAAAATAATGAATTCAAATACGAATTCGATTTTAGAAAAACCATTATGAAAAGACATACAGTACAATAATTTAAATCTCTTAAACAACAAATATTAATTTTATTAATAAGAACAGATGTATCATTTACAAGACATATTTATTTATAATCATATTTTGTAAATAAAGACATGTCATCTGCAACTCAAAATGTTTAAACACCATTTGAATAAAAATCCTTAATTATAGTTTTAGATTCTGTATTAAAATGATTTATATTTCATATATTAGTGACATTATCATATAAAAAATATGTTTTGTGCACAACCTTTTTATCTCCAAAAATGTTATTAAATATCTATATTTTATATATTATTTAGTAACAAATTTTTGACAATACGTTTAATTGATCAGAACATGTAAATGCATTTGTAGTATTTAAGGACCTAACATAAGGAGAATACGTAAATAATAACAACAAATTAGATTATACCGCAACACAAATTAAAATAATACTAAATTAATAAGAAAAAAGTAGAAAAATAATATAAATGCTCTGATCAACTACTATAAACATCATAAGACTTTTATATATTTAATTCTATGGAAGTAATACAATGTACAATAATGTTTATGCAAAAGAAAGAAAAACTCGAGAGTTAGAGCAAACGCCAAAATAGCCTCACGTCATGGTCATTGTTGTAATCATATTGTTAGTTTACAATTACAAAAAAATCATTTACACTTAACTTTAAAATTTTAATCAATTAAATTAAGTATGTAATATACAGATAATTTCAGTGCTAATGCATGACAATAAACTGTGTCCTTGATAAATCCCGTTTCCTAAAAGGAACGCATTTGACAGCAGAAAACGTTAAATTCCAATATTTTGTGTAAACATTTAATATATACCAGGTGCGTCTCAAAAGTGGCTCACGCCTATAACTTTTTTATTTTTTCAAATAAAAAATTGAGATTTGGAATGTTAATATATGACATAAATTAGGATTGATTGACGTATTCAGTTGTTTTCCGTCACTTCCTGTTTCGCCGGAAATGACTACATCTTTTGATTTTTAAATGGTACCTTCGGTTTTTTGTTGCTTTATTCGATGGAAAATGATACCCTGAATAGAATGACATATCATATGTCAAATTTGACATTTTCAAATATGGCTAATTTGAAATTGCAACATGCGATTTATAACGACAATTTGACTCGAAATACCAATTGTGTGGTACCAAATTATTCGTAAAAAAATGCTTTTTCCAAATATGCTAATGAGCCACCCCCGTTCCATTTGAAAAAATTGAGATTTAAAAATACGATTTGGACATCTTTTAACCAGCCAGGACAAGACACGAATAGCATTAGAAGATTAAATATATTTTTTCAAGACTCCTTGATTAAAAATTAGTGTTTTTAACACAGCCATCGCTCTAGAATGAAATTTAAAATTCAATTTTGTTTTAAGCAAAAATGTCAAAAGTTGACATGATATGTCATTCTATTCAGAATGTCATTTTCTATCAAATAAAGTAAAAAAATATCGAGGGTGCCATTTAAAAATCAAAGGTTGTAGTAATTTCCGGCGAAACAGGAAGTGACAGAAAACAACTGAATACGTCAATCAATCCTAATTTATGTCATATACTAACATACCAAATGTCGTTTTTTTATCTGAAAAAATCTAGAAGTAATAGGGGTAAGCCACTTTTGAGACGCACCCGGTATAAAGACTAGGCTTTACTTTTAAATTAAAATGACAAACAACTGTCCCAGTAAACAAAAGCTAAATAAAAACCTAGTTATTATAGTAAGACTTTTTAACATTGCCGACGTGTGGCATTACTTTGCCTGTTTCTAAGCCCAACTTATAAAATTACTACATATATTTAAAGTAAATGGCAGATAACCTTCCATACATATTAGAACTGTGAACTATATACAGGGTGAGTCTTAAATAATTGCAAATATTTTCAAGGCAGGTAGACCTTGATAAAAGAAAAATATTTTCTCTTTACCGTTTTCCAAATAAATGCAGCAGTTTTCAAATAGCTCAGAATCACTGTTATTAAATATTTTAACTGAGAAAATTATAAAAAATACATTTTTTTCAAAATGTTCAACACTTTTCACAAAAAACCTCATATACCTCTCTGGATCAAAATATACCACCTCTAAAATTATTTGCACTTATTAAAACACATCCTGTATATATATTAGCAAAAATATGTAGTGATTACATTTCACGAAAATAAAGTTCATATTACTTATTAAATATGAGCACTACAAGAGTCGATTCTTGTACATTGCCTAAACATTTCTAAGCACGATGTACGTATTTTTGGCCCTCTACTAAAACGATTTTTTGAAATAAAAAAACAGTACATTTTTACAAAAAAAAAGGTTTTAATTGACATTTTAACAGTGTTTCATTATAAATTAGTTTAGCTAATAGAAAAACAAATATCTACAAAATTATAAGGTACTGAATATTTTTAACACGCACAAGAGATAGGGTTGATAGTGACATTTAATCACTTTTAACGCCTTAAAACATTTTAATAAATATCAGTCAAAAGTTTCATCACTAAAGATTATATTCAAACATACCAATCGTATCCCAAATATCTAACCATTGCCGCCCATTTCTCAAGAATAAATATAACCAAACAAGCTAAAATTTGTAATAAATACAACACACTTAACTCCTGATTTTGCTAGTACCATTAGTTACAAAATAAAACAAAATCACAAATCCAAACTCTTATATAGTGTAGATTTTATATTGTAGTGTATTTTATTTTATTCTTTTGTGGTTCATTTGAACCATAGCCAGGTAACATTATCATATAGGATGTCAAAGGACCAAACAAGGCATAGTTACATAAGAAGCATTATATTTATTACTCAATTTGCATCAAAAAGTTAACTAATTCATTTCATGGCTTGTTAGGTAATATTTTTCTCGCTTAAACGGTATTATGATTATATATGAATAAAATGTGCAGATTTATTAATAGGAATTAGAAATGAATTTTTTATTGCACTTAACACTCTTTTTGTACAATATTAAAACTCAGATTAATACTCAGGACAGTTTTGTCAATACTGCTGCACATTTTCAATAAAATCTATCAAACAAACAACTTAGAGATCATTAATTCACATCTACAAGAGTGTATATAGAATGCTAAATATTATGGAAAAGAACTAAATGGACAGAAATCAATCTATTCCTGATAATGATATTTTGGATGACTCTGAGAATAAATGCAAAATATATAAAATTCGAGAAACTAAAAAAAAATAATAAATATAAAAAACTGGTCTCACATCACGAGTCTTATCCTTAAGAATATAAAAAAACATTTCCTATAAAGCTACAATGAAATAAAGTTTTAACTTCTTTGGAATTTAGGTATTTTTTTTAATGTTTTTTCATTATTTTTATCAACAACCTATATACACACATACACAAATTCAAATCATATCAAAAAATTTAAGAATTCTATAATACAAGATAATGCATTTACACCAATAACAATAAAGTTTAATCTAGTGTCTATTACACAGAATTTTTTCAGAGTAATGTTTACTATTTTAAAAAACAAGAATGTGAAAATAAACTTAAAATGAGTTCATGCAGCCAAATAAAATAAAATAAGAAATATATTTTTGCTCATGCGCAGTATAATAAAGTCGAATAAAAGTTAAGTTTAATGATTGTTTAACTTTATTTTATTCTTATTTTATTTCGCTGTAGAAACCATCATTATTCCAAAAATGTAATTTTCTTATTTCCTTAAATAATATTAATTAGACCTAATGTTTTAAATAGGTTATCCAAATTATTTCTCTCGATACCAATCTGTGTTAAGAGCCTTTTTTTAGAATAAGTATTTTCTTTCAGTAAGTAGCATTTAAAGCACCAAATTAATTTACAATTTATCTATGTAAAACTCAGATCAGATTTTAAAAAAACTAGTCAACGATTCTGAATAGTTCTTTGTTTTGAATGCGCGAAAAAATGAAACTTTGTGGTTTAGAAGACTAAGGAGTTTCACGCTCATGACCTAATACACGTTTTTTTTTACAACTGGTATATTTAGTATTTTATTGATCAATGTGCAAAGTATAATTTAGTAAATTATACATTGAATTCGAAATAAAACTTAAAATTACAATAGAAGTAAATAATATATATTAATATGTAAGTATATAATTAAAATTACCAAATTGGTAATGTCAAAAATTATTAACTTTGAAAAAAAATAGACAGGGTTGGGTAACAACGAATTTTGTGTATGTAGAAAAGAGCGTAGAGAATGTAGAATATTAAATAGAAAATGTATAAAATCCGGGAACAGGTACAAAATTAATTTTGTATATTTAAAGCCGTTTTTTCACTTTAGAAGTTTCTTCCTGAATATTTTCTTAGTGTTAGAATTGTAATAAGTGTGCGTGCGCAATCTCCCTATTCTGTAACGATACTAACTTTCTGAAGATAAGAGCCAGTAATCGATCTGAAGACTATTAGAATGTTTTTTCTATTTACTCAGAAGACTGCACAAAAAGGTCTAATTTGTAATTTCGGTTGTTCCTTTTTTTAATTTTACCACTGTAGTTTGTATTTCTTACTTTCATCATGTTAGGAGTTATTTTTTAATTCTCCTTGAGTTTTACCGATGTTTACAGAATTATTATGTATTACTATCTTACTATCGAAAACTGTTTTTTGTTAAACCTAAAACACTCTATAGCAAAAATTTACAGAATTAAAAATATCAGTAAACTTTGACTATAGTGTGTCCAATAAATCAAGGAAGATTTCGACAAACGACATCCAAAAAATGACAGAAAATACAACATGCTTATGAATGACACAGCTGTCATTGCCACAAATCCTCTCGTTGTAACACTATATCTATTTAAAATAATATGGAAGTTAATAGTTAAGCTTTATTATTATTAGTTTATTTCTTGTACTAATCACTGTGTTAAAGTATTTAAAATAAATATAAACTAAAAAAAAACGGCTTTCGATATATACAAAACTCATTTTCTACGTCTAGACAAGCACAAAAAATGTAGAAAATTAATTCTCCATAGTTTCGTTCCAACGACGGAGAGAACCGTACTCGGTACGGTTTGGTTTGGTCAGCCACGAGAGAATCGTTTAGTGGACGATAACTTTTGCGTTCCAACAAGAGTTGTCACCATTAATGAATAGTGAATCGATTCCGGAACCGTAATTTCGATGCCAGCCTGAAAGCAAGAACCATAGGGACTGAACTGCGCATTAAGAGTGTGTCAGCACTTTATTGATTTTTTCTGGACTTTATTCCTTTAGCCATTTCTCTTTTTAATTTTGACAGTTTATTTATCTGTTGTTTTAACGACGTTTTGAAGCTTAAAGTTTTATTTGATATTTATCGTGCATTTATTTTAAATATTTCTCTATTTTTTGAACTATGATGAGTGACGAACGGGACAGTGATTCGAGTCTTTGTTGGATACCAGCGAAAATGATTTGAACAAATGATTCAGACGTACAAATATAAATAAATCTCCCTCCCAATTTATTAATTGTCTTATAGTGTATAGTTCAAGCACGTAAATACCGTACGATCGAGAAAAAACGGCGTCCAGTTGGCTTGGAAATGATGATCAATGCCATTCTCCATATAATTTTACATATAAAAAATTACAGCGATCTTCATTTCATAGCCATCGCTAACGCCGTTTTTTTTTCGATCATACGGTATATTACTCATTTTGAATCCCTTAGATAATAAACATGGTATAAAAAAAATCTATCTAACCCTTAGATCTAACCAATAACAATAACAAAAAATAAGGTTATTAATTCGATTCCAGCGTAAGGCGCCACAGCAGCCAGGGCGAATTCTAAAATCGATTCCCAAACCGTTCCGACTGCATTTAATTTACTGTCCTCCATTCACGCAGTTGTGCAGCTCTGAACTGTTCAAGAACGCGATACTCCCATTCCATTCAATTGAGTCATAAAGTTCAGAACTGTTCCGCGCCACATGGAGGCACCAGGCTATCGCGCACAGCTCCTTTCAGAACCGTTCTGAGTAGCCCAGGGCGTAAAGCTCTGGAACTTGAAATTCGCGAATGGAGGACAGCAATTTTGGTATCGTAACAGAACTGTCCTAGTCGACACATGCGCACAAATTCAATCCCGCCGATTCCAACAACCATTCTAGAACGGTCCTAATTTCTGCATTGGAACAAAGTTCATATATAAAATTTTCTACCTACCCAACCCTGTGAGTGACAAACTTCAAATCAAAATATTGCTACTGATCCAATAGTAGAAACCTGACTTTTACCAGCTGTAAAAAAATCTCATAAGATTCATTCAATCTTGCATTCCAAATAAAAAATAAGAACCCATGAAACTATACAAACTATAAGTGTCTTTCTGAACAGATATAAAAAATACATTATTAATGATATAAGGAACCTAACCACAGAATACCTTAGCTATACAGAATCGACAGTAAGAGTCGGTTGTTTTGAAGTATGTCTCAAATTTTAAGGGAACAAATTTTGAAGTACAGCGAGAAAAATTATTTCTTTAAACAGCTGTTATTTTATTGTGACGTTTTATTTTTTAATAAATTTAGTAAATACAAATTCTAAAAAACATAATTTAAAATTTAATTTTAATATAAATCTGTAAAATACACGTAAAATAAAAAGGAAATCTGACTGCATTTCTCTGCTTTCCCAACCTATGCTTTCAATTATTTCGGTACAAATATCGATTTCTACACAAAAATATATTATCAATAAAAAGAGTTTTACTAGTCTGAAAGATTTTTGCTATTCATAAAAAGTTTTTACATGTAAAAATCTAGTAAATCGACATAGACAAAAACAAAGCATCAAGTAATCAAAATTTGACAACGTGTGTCATTAAATTTGACAAATATACTAACTTAAAATTTGATCCACAAAAAAATTGCCCATGTCGCTTCTGTATAGTTAGATAATTGTGTGACCTAACAGCAATCTGACATACTTTCGGGAATAGAGTCTTCATCGTGACAAGACGATTTTTCGTCAGGATCGTAGTAGACTTCTGCACCTGGGAAAATATACCTACTTGGCGGCAGCAGATGGAAGGAATGCGGCGGCAGGCGATCGGCCAGACTCCTTTTTATTTTCGGTTGCCAGTAGCCGCGCAGGTCTTGGCTTTTGTCGTCGAAGCACGATGCGGTGTCGGATTTTTTCACGCACGACGAGTCACTTACGGATAGATCTATGTTGAAAGTGGTGCCCTCTTTACTTTCCGTTTCCAAATCGGTGAAATTGGAGTTTTCGCCTATACCCGAGTCTCTGGCGGAGTCTATGCTTATGTGCCGTTCTTTTATTTGTTTACCTGAAATGACAAGGATTTTGTTACGGAAGTTATATTGAAATGACTAGCGACATCTCTCGGGAACGTACGAAATGGTTATTTTCGATAGCGAAGATGACGCCCTATAGAAGGAAAAGTACTTCATAACGGCCAGAGCTGCAACAAGTCAGTTTTGAAAACACTTAAGTTTTAAGTCATTTCTAAAATCAAAATGATTTAAGTCTTAAGTCAAATTCAACATAAAGTTCAAATGACTTAAGTTTTTGACTTAAATCAATATAACGTTATTTAAGTCGTTTTTGACTTAAGTTTATATTTTTGACTTAAATCATGATGATCTACAAGTTAAGTCAGTAAAATGACTTAAATCAATGTAATTATCCTCAAGTCAAGACAACCAATTTCTTGTAGTACCAATTAGCGATTTTCTTACTAGTATCATACTATTAATTTATTGTTAGTACAGATGAGACTAAAACTAGTGATGGGAAAAACCGATTAATTTCAATAATCGAGTACTCGAGTTTCAAGCGATTGCAATCACCGAGTGATCGTTCGAGCGAAATATTACTCGTATTTAAATACGGTTTTTCACCCGTCGCCTGTTGTAAGTCCTCGTTAACGTCACACGCTAAGCAGTATGTTGCGTGCGCACGGCACATATTCTTTCTGTGATGAATGGCAAGTAGCAAGCGGTCAACGATTCACTTGATCGCTTGATTTAGTTTATTTCAAAGCATTGTCGATGTAGGTCGTAAAATTTTGTCCCTCAGATACGCAACGGATAAATATATATACGGCGTCGTATAAATTTGCTACCTGCAATGTATGTAGAAATCGGCTTTTTATCGAGTATGTCACATTAAAATCGGATTTCAATTTATTTCATTCTAGGATCGCTTGCGTTCGTCGCTTGGTACTCGTCATTTGCATCGCTCGTTCATAATCGAGCGATGTCGGTTATTTCAATAATCGAGTACTCTCATCACTAACTAAAACCACATAAAATAAAACGTTTAATTTTCAGAACTAATGCAAAAATCACAAATGCAAAAACATTTTTTTTAATAAAATGTAACGGATTTTATAGTATTTTTATTAACAGTATAGATGTCATCGAATACATGTCTATTAAAAAGGGGTGATGTCTTTTGATCACTATGTAATGTATCGATGGCATAAGATAAGGGCTGGAGGATTTTAAGTAGTGATGAGATAACTCGAGCGAAAATTCGTTCGATTATTGAAATAACCGACATCGCTCGATTATGAACGAGCGACGAACGCAAGCGATCCTATCGAGCAAATTTGCTACATGCATTGCAGATTATATTTCTTCAAACATATTGTTCTTTTGATTGGGACCACATTGTTAATTATAGGACTATACAACGTTATCTGTTATATAACTGTGTGACAAAACTTTACAACCTACATCGACAAGGCTTTGATGCATGATCAAGCGAAACTACTCGTTGCTTGTCGCCCTATCATCGAAAGAATATGCGCTCTGGCTTACTGCTTGGTGTTACGAGTACAAGTACAAGCGACGGCGACAGCGAAAAACCGTATATTTAAATACGGAGCGAAATTTCGCTCGATTATTGAAATCGCTTGAAACTCGAGTACTCGATTATTAAAATTCATCGTTTTTTCCCATCACTAATTTTAAGGTACTCTTCAATATATTCAAGATAAATTCCTTTCATTCGTCTTTCGGGCTACATAACGGGGTCGGTGATTCACTTGAAAGGCTGACTCCCTACGCAAGCGTAACACAACAAATACTCAAGACCGGTTCCGAAAAACTAACGCTTTATTTTCTAGTGATATTGAGCATTGTGCTGCCCCAAAATGTGTCATAAAAATATATAAAAATCTGACTTGAGCGTTTAATAAAAAGACTTAAATCTTTTTCTATTCCGGAATAAAGATTTAAATCACAAGTCATTTTGAAAAAGGCTTAAATTTTAAGTCTAAAATCAGCTTTCGAAAATGACTTAAAATCAGATGACTTAGGTCATTAAAATGATTTAAATCAAAAAAAGACTTAAGTTTTCTGAGCTTGCAGCTCTGATAACGGCGAACTGAATTTTAGCGAGGTCAAGCCCTAGACGTCATTTCTTGGCCTGTATGCTTCTTTATTTTTTAATAGCCCTTACTGCCAGTTGGCCGTAAAAAAGCCAGTGTAATTTATTTCTATACTCAGTAAAAATGATTCTTAAATGGTGTACTTTAAGATAAGAGAAAAATATTTTTTTGAAAATAGATTTGTGTATCTGGAAACGTTCTATCCTATTTTTGAAATGTTTTAGTCCATTTTTAGTAAATGATGTCTAGAGATTGACCTCGCTAAAATTATCATCGATTGTCATTCCCCAGCCCTCTTGAGGCCGTTTTTTTTTCGTCCATACGGTATAAATAGGCACAAAAAGCAACCAAACCTAACCTAACCTAAACAACATATAACAACAGTGATAAAGTTTGGAAAATCTGTTCGAAATCTATATCAAAACTATGAAGGGTAGAAGTAAGGAGAATCATATCTTAATGAGACTTTTGTGTTAAACGACAAGAAGTGGTCAACTAAAAAAAGGAAAATAAGGGTTCACTACATGACCACAGTGGCGCTAATAAGCAATAAGGTATCGAACTGAACGTAGCGGTTATAAATAAAGTGAAGTTAGTCAAAAATCGCATATTTATCTATCTTTTTTAACTATTTCTTGTTCTAAAATTTTTTGGCGCTTCTTTCAAATGTAGAACTTTAGCTACAGCAGCGTCATCGTAATAGAAGTCATCTCCTTACCTCTACGCTCCATAATCATAACCAATTAACAAATAACACATATATTTTTCAGAATTTTCAATGAATAATAAAAATAAATAAAAACTTACCCTTAATATCGCAACTACAAACTATTTCCTTCTGTATTGAACTAGGGCTAGTGCTTGTCACTGAAAACTCGCAAGTACATCTAAATGTTTCTTCTGATTGTTCAATACAGTTAACCTTGGCAAAATTATTCGTTACGATAGTATCAGAACATTGTAATTTTTCTACATCCGTTGAGGATTCTTCTCTGTAAGGTAATAATTCTGGAACTTCCGTCAAAACTTGAGGTGTATAAATTCCTTCTTCCCAATTTTGTCCTAAACTGTCATGAAACAAAATGAAGGTATTTTATTATTTCATGCAAAGAGCCTGTAATTCAAAATACATCAACAATATATAGCACATTCAATGATAAAGAGACCTAAGTCAAAAATATTAATAATTTGTGTTGTGCTAATTTATGAAAAATGTTTACTAGGAGACCTTGCACTCGATCATTGTCTATTTAGAACCTCTTTTCGCAAAAACTCATCCCAACTTTATTAGAATATTTTGAACAGGAAAGCGGTAGTAATGGCCCTTTATGTGCTGTTAAAAAGGTTAGTTTTGTTGATGTAAATAATAACTGTTTATATACAGGGTGGCGCACCTCATACTCCTCGGTTGATTATACGAAAACGGAAAGATGTAGAAACAAAATATTTTATGGGTATATGTGGAAAGACAATCTGCATAATTTAAAATTATTTTGAAATGTACAGGGTGTGTCAGAACTAAGATCCATACCAACGTTATATTTTTTTCTTATGGAATACCCGGTATTTTATTTCATTTTTGGATTCTTGAACATAAAATAAGACATTTATTATAAGGGTTTAATATGTTTAAAAGCTTTGGTTTTTGAGATATTCAACAGATATTTAAATATGCATGCTATAATAAAAAAGTTTGTCAACACCTTACATTACGTACATTACTTTTCAGAATTAATTCTTGTGCTGACTTTCAAGCCAGAGAAATAAACTTTACTAAAATTTGATTGCTTTCTTAAATGTATACAGGGGTATTAAAAATTGCTGATCTATTTTGAATATTTATTTTACATAAAAACTTATGTAAAATTTATATTTCGTTATTTCAAATGCAAAGTTATGTATTTTTTTAAATAAGTCGAAGCAGATTTAAATGCTCTTTCAAACAATATTAGGGTTTGCTATACCTATCTGACTTAGATTTTCAATAAAAAACGATTTTTCAATAAAATTGTAATCAAGATGGCTGGTGCCGCCATGGCAATTTTCTAGTGACACTTAGTAGCTATTTTCAAAATCGACATTAGTTTATGGGCTTTATTTTAATTTATAACAGGTTATTTTTGTTTAATTTGCCTCCAATATGTTTAATAAGAGTATTTATTATTTTATCAAGAAATATAAGGCAGTATCTGTGCTAGCGGAAGGAATGGATGTTACTAGTGATTTTATTTTGTGAGGACAATTGCTTGTGGGCCTGAAGGGTTTATGCTCAAAGATATCCAAATAGGAATTTTCTTGACAAGCGTTCCTTTGAAAAACTTGCTGATAGTGTGGCATATGAAAAACCTATTAAGCAGAAACCTATCATTGGAAGTAAAGAAAATGAATTTGCCTTAATAGGTTATTTTATAGAAAATCCAATATATCTACAAGTCGTCGTAATATAAATCAAACAACTACTTCTTTACTTTTTTTTTATAAAGATTAACATATTAAACCCTTATAATAAATGCCTTATTTTATGCCCAAGAATCCAAAAATGAAATAAAATACCAGGTGTTCCATTAGAAAACATATAACTTTGGTATGGATCTTAGTTCTGACACACCCTGTACATTTTAAAATAATTTTAAATTGTGCGGATTGCCGCCCAACATATACCCATAAAAAATTTTGTTTCTACACCTTTCCGTTTTCGTATAATCAACCGAGGCGAATGAGGTGCGCCACCCTGTATTTATAATTAATTTATTTTTGATTAAAAGAAAATATATAAAAGTGGGAAACGCGGTGCCGGTCAAGTGACGTTAATCACGTGACTAAAAGTTTATTTGGTATGAACTATAGAACGCATTTATGCCAAATTGCAAATTAAAAATTAAACAATAAATTTTATGCAAAACTTGTAATTTAAATTCATAAACTGTACTTACAAAAATAAAAAAGCATTTTACTTACAGTCTGCAGATGTGATTGATAATGGCATCACAGTCTCCTAATAGTTCGACATCGAAATGACAGTGAGGTAGCGGTTCTCTGTTGATAAGGATTTGCGGAACGTTGGCTGGAAGAGAACTGGGAATGAGAGCAACAGGTCGGACTTTGAGCGAACTGCCGATGACAAGTAGCAAGTCGCATTCGGAATTATCGGCAGTCATGGCTTCGTGAAACGTGTCTGGAAGACCTTCTCCAAAGAATACAATGTCCGGTTTCATTATACCAGAGTGAACCAAATCCTACAAACAAAGTAGAAATTATCGTTTAAGACAATTAAATTACAAATAACAACGAATAAAAAGAATTAGTAGAGATCAATAAAACCCCGTTCAAAATCAGCGACTTTTAGACGACGATTCGACGGTCAAGCACAACTTTCACACTGGAAGTTTGTAATTTAAGATCCATTTTTGTACAGCAATAAGTAATCCTAGAGAAATGTTCTTACTGGTATAAAAATCCAAGATCAGAAAATAGTTTTTATGAGAAAGATTGTCAGCAAAAATTTGAAAAATATACGCAAAAAATAGATACCTTATAATTTGTTGTTTCACATCCAAGATCGTCTGTTGAAACTGAATCTCCTTCATTGGCGTGACACTTTTCACAAAGTGGAATTTTCTGTGCCAAAACAATATCCCTTATTGCATCTGCATTTACTTTATGGTCGCACCTGGTGCATGTGGCTGTAGCAAAGGAACCATGACATTCAATAACCCTTTCAATTTGTGCCTCTTTCTCCAAAGTATCAATGTTTTGAGTGTAGTTTCTAAGAAGTTTATTGTGTTTCTCCAATAATTTTATAAACCTGTGGCAGGGACTTGGTTTGAATTTGCCTGGGTATATATCTCTAGCAAATTTGAAAAAGGGCCTCGGGTCTTGAGTGAAGAAACTGATATCAAACATTGCTTGTGGATCGGGTAAATTAGGAAAATCCATGGCTAGTCTGGAATAAATACCATCCCTTGACCTGAAATCGGGTATTCCGCACGATACCGAAACACCCGCACCGGTCAATACTATTATTTTTTGAGCACCTACAAATAAAAATTGTAGTTATATTTGTTACATACAACTTGATATTACAAATACCTTTTAGTAATCTTACTATATCGTCGAGAGTATTAACATGTCGAAGTTTATTTCTCCTAGGTGGTTCCGCAAATATGTTAATAACAAGTTTCCAGAGAGTAAAGTCATTAACATACTCTGGAATCTGATCCAAATCTACACCTGTAAATAAAGACAAAGTTTTTAATAAGGATACTGAAATTAGATTGCCTTTTTGTTTCATAAACATGAATTTAAAATGATTGGTTTTAAATTGTCACTCAATATTTAACTCTTTTTTCTAGGAGTACTTTTATTTTTTACAGTTTAGTTTAAACTAACAATTTTAGTGTCATTTAGAAACAATCTTGGATTGTCAGATTAAAATATTTGATAATATTTTAAGAATAAGTTCTGAAAACTGGTTTTATACTTATATATCTAAAAAAGTTGTTTTTTGTTTAAAAGAACAAAATAATTTTCATGTACAGGGTGTCCCACTAAGAATAGCTCTCGGCTGTATCTCGGAAACTATTAGTCGTAGGGCTTGCGGAAAAAAAAATATTTATAACTAATGGTGGGTTCATACAGCCAAATAAAATAAAATAAGAATAAAATAAAATAAAATAAGAAAGTTGGTTATATGGGATACCGTACATGCGTTCATACAGCCAAATAAAATAACAAATAAAATAAGAAGTCTTTATCTTTTAACTTCTTGTTTTATTTTATGTGAAAACGGCTTTGCGCACGCTTCATTCTAACCTACAAATATTTTCAGTTTGATTTAATATATAATTTCACATAAGTAAAATGTATAATATAGTAGGCAACGAATAAATAAATATACTATAAATAGTAAAATTACTATAAACAATCGTAAAAGTTAACTTTTATCCAGCCTCATCGTACTGCGCATGAGCAAATATATATTTCTTATTTTATTTTATTTGACTGTATGAACGCACACAAATAAGAATTCCTTATTTCTTATTTTATTTTATTCTTATTTTATTTTATTTGGCTGTATGAACCCACCATATAGTGACCATGAGAAATTGCTGGAAATTATTTTCAAGTTTGTAGAACGGCCGCTAGAGGACGCAACTGCTATGGAAAGTAAATGGAATTTTTACGAAGTTTTGCCTAGATAAGGTGTACTATACATAATAGCTTCACAATCTTCAGTAAATTTTGGATCTTTTTTGACAGAACCAATTTCGCCTATCTGCTAAAATAAAGGGGGGGAAGGTTAAGATCTGTTATTATTTAAATGTTAATAACTCCGGACTGGATGATCGGAATCCAACAAACGGGGGCTCGTTTAAAAGACGTTTCTTACTCTAAATTATGCCGCATAAACAATAAAAATATGCTTTTGAACGTAGACGCTATGGGCCCTATCTTATAACTTAACAAACATTACGCGTTTTTTTTTTTAAACGCGATAGTAGGTATATGTAATTTTAGCTGATACTAAAGAGTAATAAAAGCTTAAAAAATCAGCGAAAACCGCATCTTTTTTATCATCATATCTTTTTTCAAACCAACGTTATTAGCAAAATTATAATAAATACGAAAAAATTAATTTCCTTATTTTTCTAATACGCCCTAACGCTAATACTAATAGCCCTCTAGATTATGACCATTCTAATAAAAAATAAGATAAAAAGATTATTTTATTCAAAAAATCGACAATAAATTTTATGCAAAATGTACCACAATACCATAATACTAGGTGTGTTAATATATAATAATTAAGATATCAATGACAGTGAACAAGAAACGACGCCTCAGTGAATTCATGGTAGGGTTTGGAAAAATGTTGATTTTAAAGAGATAGTTTAAACATCAAAATATTATTATATCGACATTCTGATAGTCTCAGCAGCGTTTTTATCTTTTGATTGCTTTTCTAAAAATGCTTTTCGTCAAAAGAGAAAAAACGCTACTAAGAATATCAAAATGTTGATCTAATAACACTTTGACGTTTATACTATTACGTCAAAAGCAACTTTTTTCCTCCTTTCTACCATGACTTACTGAGGCTTTATTTCTTTTTCACTGTCACTGATATCTTAATTATTAGATATTAATACATCTGGTATTATGATATTGTCGATTTTATAATAAATTAATCGGTTCTATATTATTTTTTATTAGAATGGTCATAATCAAGAGGGCTACTGTAACTGTGTTATAAAAATAAAGTAATTAAGGGTTATTATAATTTTGCTAATATCTTCGGTTTAAAAAAAGATATCAAGATAGGTTTTCGTTGACATTTTAAGATTTTACTACTCTTTACCATCGGCTAAAATTACATATACTATCGCATTTAATTTTTTTTGGGAAAACGCGCAATGTTTGTTAAATTGTAAGACAGCGCCCTCTAGCGTCCACATTTAAAAGCTTATTATTATAGAGTAAGAAACGCTCTTTTAAACGAGCCCCCGCTTGTTGGATTCCGTTGACCCAGTCCGGAGTTATTAATATTTAAACAAAAACAGATCTAACCTTCCCCGCCACTTTATTTTAGCAGATAGGCGAAAATGGTTCTGTCAAAAAAGAGCTATTATTATACAGCCGAGAGCTATTCTTAGTGGGACACCCTGTACTTAATCTACAATGTCACAGATAAAGTCAGCATCACATGGTATTTTTTATTTATTGTCTTTTGCTGTGAATTGGATTGAAAATAAAGCTAAAGTGTTATTTCTATGTGTCTATTCAATTCCAAATTCATGCTTTAAAAATTTGATTAAATATGAACAATATGTAAAAACCAATCTTTAAACATACTAAATAGTATATTTAGTTTAAATATACACATTATGATTTTACCTAATTCTGTCAGTAATACTCTCGGATTGATCCCCTTCTGTATCTGTTCCTGAATCCATATCATAATACCATTCTTTGGTTTCCAATCATGACTACTAAGATCTGTAAGGCCACTCAGTTCACTTAGGTGGCTAACTGTCGATGCATTATCATCATCATCCTCATCTTCAACACTTTCCTATATAAATAAAAACGATTTCTATCTGTTCATCTCCTATATTGTATACATTAAATATATTATGTAGTATTTTTTGCTCTTATTGGTCGTCTCAAACTGCGAACAGAACTCTTTACATTGTACAAAATCTCTAAAATGAAACACTTATCTTTCAAAAGCCAACCAATAAAAGCAAATCGGGATACCTAAAACAAGTTTTAACTCCGTTAAAACTATTTTTAGTCTAAAATTTTTATATAGAATACATGACAGTGAGATGTGCCATATTAAAGTGTAATTTTGGTGCTTCCGAATTTTGGATGGTCTCTGTGAAAAAACTAGGTATATGTATAGCGACGCGAAATTCCTAAAAAGTTAAAAAAGTTTTAACGATCATGACATCTTCCTACATGAAATTAACCAAGAGATTCCTAAAAAAATAGTTGGATAGAGGAAAACGTCAACTAAATGCATATTAAAATTTGACGTTTTTTTTCCTCGAAAAAGTCAAAAATTCGGATGCTTGAAAAATAGACTGAGAGTGGCACAAAATTTGTAAAAGTTAAAGGTGACCAAAGACAACCAAATTGAATTCGAATTTCGGAGGTTTTAATCTGACAGCTACGACAGCTACCAGTGGCGTAGGCAAAAAGGCGTTGCCTAATACAGACAAAATTATTTTTTTTTTTCATATCATTACGTTATAACTCATTAATCCAAGAAATATTTGCAATAAGCATATTTCATCTCATTTTTATTCTAGAGAATACCTATTATATGGGAATTAGGAGAAAATTATTTAAATGTGTTCTTTTTTTATAAATTGGATTAGGATCGAAAGAAATCAACAGAAGTCCTTTGTTTTAAATTTGTCGACGTTTCGCAAAATTTATTTGCATCTTCAGGACACTACAAAGTTAAGAGAGCAAAAATACAATCAAATAAAAGTTTTTCCAAAAATTTAACAAACAACTTAAAATACATATCAGTGGAATCCACACATATACAATTGGTAAAACTACCCTAATGTTAACAATTAAATAAAATATATGTATATGTTACTCACATTTAAATCTGGACTTTCTTAGTCATATCCATTAATACACGGATGGTATAGAGGGGAGTGGTATATATCCCTTTTTTCCTTTTAAAACACATAACACACTTACATAAAAAAAAACATATAACACAATTATGTATAGAGAAATATCACGAAAATCTTTTCCTTTCACAGACAAGCAGTGCAGATGTACCTACGTTGACCGTATACAGAGAGCAACTAATTCTAGTTGATAAAATACTAATATAATTTTTACCTGGAGATAAAGAACAGTTGAAAAAAGAAACATATAAAAATATTATTTGGATTTAAACCATTATTTTGAAGTTATATTATTTAATTTTTGAAAGAATATTAAAATATGCTGTACTCAGGTTTTCTACGTCTGTTCTTTTATTAACGCAATTTTTGTTTTTTTGGATTTCTATCATCTCTGCAAATAATCTTTTCTTATAATTAGATTGTGTTTGTAAAATAGTGGTATTGTCAAAATCGAAGTTATGGCCTGTCTCTATTTTGTGTTCTACTAATGCGGTAGGATTAGATTTCAAAAGAAAGTTCCTTTGATCATTTTTATGTTCATTCAATCTTTGTTTTAAATATCTACCGGTCTGCCCAACATAGCTTTTAGGACATTGAGTACAAGGAATGTTATATATTATGCCGGATTTCAGTTCTTTTTTTATTCTTTGATTTTGTTTTTGAAAAGAACCGTCTCTTTATGGTGTTATGACTCCTTGTTGTAATTTTTATTTTTTCCTGTTTTTTTGTAGTATGACCCTTAAATGTGTTTTTAATTTGTTCTGACAGACAGTCGATATAAGGTATTTTACAATAAACTTCTCTATCATTTTGGTTAGTAGATTTTACAACGGTTTTCTTGTTAAGAATTTTTTTTAATCATAGATATTGGATAATTATTTTTAATCAACATGCTTTCGATATATTTTAAATTTTTATTATGAAAATTAATTGATGATAGTGATGTAGCTCTGATTTTCAGGTTATTAATAACATTAATTTTTTGTTTCAAAGAATGTTCGGAGGAATAATTGAGAAATCTCTCAGAGAATGTCGGCTTGTGATACCAATCTGTCTCTATTAATTGATTGTGTCTAATTAAATGACTGTGTTTTTAAAAGGAAAAAAGGGATATATACCACTCCCCTCTATACCATCCGTGTATTAATGGATATGACTAAGAAGGTCCAGATTTAAATGTGAGTAACATATACATATATTTTATTTAATTGTTAACATTAGGGTAGTTTTACCAATTGTATATGTGTGGAATTCCACTGATATGTATTTTAAGTTGTTTGTTAAATTTTTGGAAAAAACTTTTATTTGATTGTATTTTTTGCTCTCTTAACTTTGTAGTGTCCTGAAGATGCAAATAAATTTTGCGAAACGTCGACAAATTTAAAACAAAGGACTTCTGTTGATTTCTTTCGATCCTAATCCAATTTATAAAAAAAGAACACATTATATATTATTGGATCGACAACAATAAAAATTAAAATTATTTAATTTAATTAAATCATTTTTCAGCAATTCCCATATTAGGATATTTTCCATAAAGGCACTCCATATGATTTATATGAAGGCGGATTGATTTACCTTATATTGTCATGACTCGTGTACTTGACAGGTACGCCAATATTTGCGTAGTTGGCAAGTATATTATCTTTGTAAACATTTTTTTGCAACAAGCTTGGCGCTCATGCGGCGCGACGAGTGACAAATAATTGCACAAAAAAACCGCTCACACGATATGGCAAGTATATTTATACCAATAACAAATGTTTGTACGAGTACACGAGTCGTCAGAGTCCGCGTTAATAGAATATTCAAGGATGTGCCTTAGCGAATCTTAAGGACGGTCCACACTTGCTATATAACACTACTGTATAACAAAGTTATATAACATGTTACATATTTTTTAGTCATATTTAGCAAATTTCGCTGCTATATAACTTGTTAGATGTTATCCATTTGTAGTCGGTAAAGATCAAAAGATGTTGCTCAACACTGCTATTGTAACATGAAACAATGCGTCCGGACTTGCTAAATTTCTAGTTTAGTCGCTCATATTTTCAGGGACGTGCGCGACAGAATCTTAGTATGGCGAGCTGATATTGGTTTTGTTTATTTACTGGTCAATAATCGATGAATCCCAATATAAAATGACAGCGATCTTCATTTCATAGCCATCGCTAACGCCATTTTTTTTTTTCGATCATCATTTTTCTTATACATAAAGAAAGATAGTAAAAAGCTTGAACTTATAGTAAAGTAAAACGTTTTATTACTTTCTCTATGTTCTAATATTGTTAATGGAGTAGAGCCAAGAGCAGACTTGTCAACTAATTAAGTTGTTTAGAGATCATACAGTGTTATGGAATATCCGTAGTCCCTCATTTAAAGTGAAATAAAAAAAAACATGATGCATGGTTAAAAATTGCAAAAACTATGTATTTGGAAAGAGAAAAAGTTGAGAAAAAAATGCGTTATCTAATAGGGCAGTTCCAGAGGAAACAAAAGAAATGCAAATCAGGTACTGGTTTAGAAGAAGTGGATAATTCAAAATGGTTTGCTTTTAAGCAAAGCTTTTAAGTTATTAATGTTTTTAAAAGACAGAAACACACCACGAGAAACAGCCGAGGCAGGTATTGAAAAGGTAAGCTAATTGAATTCAACTATAGCTTTTTTCGTTTTCCTGTTATTACCGATTCTGAACCGTCCTAGAACTCTGCAGCGCATGCGCAAATGAAATAATGTCTTCATATTTCCTTCTGCGCATACGCATCACAGTGCTAGGTCGGTTCAGAATCGGTAATAACAGGAAAACGAAAAAAGCTTATATATAGATCTATCTTGTAGGCTATGGCGGAGTCAAAACCGCTTTTTTTCTCGACTTTCTTTCTCTTTCTTCAAAAATAATTTCGCACGCCGTTGCTGCTAGCAGAACCTCTTTCTCGCCAAAGCGATTCATGATTACGAAAACTATAATGTGTACGGCTACCGGTTTTTTAGCATATGATATGTAGCTTGTTAAATAGCAATGTTATATAACATGTTACTAAATGTGGACCCTTCTTTACACGTACTCTGCAGATCGCAATGACTAGAAGGCCAATGTGTAGGAAAGAGATAGAATAAGGAAGTAACGCGTGATTTGACATCTATCCTGCGCAGTGATGACAAATCTGAAAATTTACCCAAATTTAGACTAAAAAACAATTATATTTATTACTTATTACTATAGTAATTACTTTTGCTATTCTTATTTTAATATTTTCCCAATTTTTGCCTACCCTGCATTGATGTGCACTGCACACCACTGATAACTACCTACGTAAAATTAATAAATTAACCCAGAGATACGTCAAAAATAGTTAGCCACGTAAAAATGTCGAATAAATGCAATTTAAAATCGGGGGTCATTTTTTCTCAGAGAACGTTCGAATTTCGGATGCACAAAAACTAGACCCATGGAGACACAAAATTCGTAAAATGGAAAACAAGTTTTAATGACTATCCGAATTTCGAAGATTTCAATGTGACAGCCATATAAAATTAACCAATATTAAACGTTTTAAAATTTGATTTTTTTTTGTAGAAAACGTTCAAAAATTCGTATTCATAGAAACTATATAGGTACCTAATTCACTGTTATTTTTTGGATGCCGTCTGTCGAAATATTCCCCCACTCATTGGGCATACTTTATACCCATTTTACTACGAACAAACTTACCTGTTGTGCCTCAAGTTCATTTTGATCATTGGTGGAAGATGATTGAGGGAAAAACGATTCAGACAAACTTGATAAACTTTCCTGCAAATCGGTATGCGGCGATGTGTAGTGCGAAGAAGTTGGCAAAGACTCCAAAGTGGATGCTTCATAGCCTGAATCGCAGTCTGTTGTTAACCCTACATTTATATGAAAAAATATCTTTGTCAGCGCTAATCATTTCGAAACCTTTTTAATCAAAATGATCATTCATTCTGATACTTTGAAAACTTATCACAAATATAATTGGCATCAGTGGCCGATGATCCTAAGGGGCCAAAGTAAGAGGCACAGGGGCGCACGTGCCAGGGTTGCCAGATGTCCAGCCTTAGGAGGGACTGTCCCGCTTTTTGTTAATTAGTCCCGCTTTTTTAACTGAATGACGCTTTTTAAGTAAATTGTCCCATTGTTTCATTATTTAGCCATAGTTTTCCGTTAGAGGGCATCAAACTTTTTTTCCAATACTTTTTTTAGGAACGCTTAGCAAATCATAGGCGCCCAAAATCTCATTCAAATCGGAATACCGATTCTTAACATATCTTAAACGGACAAAAAAGCCCTCTAATGGACAAAAACTTTTAGAGGAAAATTGTGTCGAAAGAACTTATTTTTACTTCAAAAATACGTAGTAGTTCTATGTCCACGGAATATTGGGACTTGGGACACCCTGTATATAGTAAAGTTATAAACAGATTTATTTTTAACTTACTGCTAAATCAAATTTTATTTTATGTTGTCAGTTGTAATATTGCATTGGCAATTTACATTAGCAACACTGCTAATAAGTTCCTAAACAGCTTTTTCTTTATGAGGATCCGGCAACCCTGGCACGTGATAAGAGGAAAAAATAAGTAAATAATTTAGTGCCAATAAGTGAATAATTTATACCAAATAATGTCATTTCTGGCGTGAGAAGTAGGATAGACGTTATGTACTAAAAATATTAGATAAGTATTTTCTTATAGAATCTGTGCCCTGCGTCCTTCAGTAATCGCGAGACGCCACTGATTGGCACTAAAAAGTCCACCAATGAATGTAAAAAATCAGAAATATAAACAAATTATTTTAATTGACATAAACGCGCTAAATTGATGCGACTTTATGACAACCAAATTATTTATGATAACAAAACAAAAACTTATTTATTTTTATAATAATTCTAAACTTGATCGTTGTAATTACGTTTATATTTAATTGCAAAATATTGCATAATAGTTCTTAAATATGTTCGCTAGTGTTTTGTGAACTATAATGATTTTATAATTGGTAGGTATGTAATATTCATTAGATTTTTAATATAGACATGGTAAAATTTAAAAAAAACTATCTACATAAAATATTTTTTAGAAGTTTTGTAGGTAGGTATCTTTTTTAATTAGTTCTATTTTTTTTTAATTGATAAAAAAATATAGGTCATTAAAGGTACCTATTTTTTTTTAATTTTTCGCGAATAAACGTCTTGACAACTGGATAGCACAAAACACCTTTTTTCTACATTTTCAATTAAGTACAGCAGAATATCAAAAAGTTGTATTTCTTTATTTATAAATAACGAAATACTAAAATTAATAAACAGAAATAGACTTGAAGGGAAATGAAAAAAAAAATAATAAAATTAAAAACTAATTTTCAACTCTCGCGTCAACGTATAAAATGAAAAATAGTGGCGCGAAAAGATGGAAGAAAAATGACAGGTGGGTCAACCCTGTCAGCGAAAAGTAATAATTATACGAACACAAAGTTTCTGCGGCACAAGATAAATTAACAATCCAGTCACAAACAAAAATTAACGTCGTCATTACTAAAGCGTAATTAGTGACTAACAATAAATAAATAGGTAAATAAAAACAACTCTTATTAGAAATACTTTGTTTTATTAAGAAGTCTTTATTGATATAAAACCAACTAAAAACGCATTAGGTAATCTTCTAATATTGTTCTGAAAAGGAAAAAACCGTAAATTTGGAATATCATGTTAGCAGACACCACGCCTACAAAATGTCCGCAAGTCGCCTTTGTTTGCCGCCGCCATATTGGATCAAAAGTTTTACCTAAACAATCAAACATATTTTGGAAATTTTACCTTCTATGGTATCAATCGGCCCTGTTGTGGATGTGGAAAAACATGAAAATCCATTACTATTGCACAATTCACCTACATTAGAATCGCTAAAGTCGATTTTAATTCTTTTCGCGCTTGATTCGTTTTCTTGTACGTCAGGATAGGAATCCATCTTTGACACGAATAAAAACCTTTTTCGAGAAGCAAGTAGCCGGAAGAAGACCATCAGCGCACTCTGACGGGCAATTCGCTCTGTCTAATTTGGCGGATCTGCCATCCGGACAAATATTTCACACGAGTTGAAGAAATAATTTGTTATAAATATATAAAATTTAAAGTTTTCCATAAAAGTAGTTCACAATGCCAAAAAATAAAGGTAAGTTATATATTTTTATCGAATTAGCTTATTTCGTTAATGCCAGATGGTTTTATTTTCTTTCGTATATCGACTTTTCCATCTAAACCTATTTAGGTAATAAAAATAGGTTTTTAGTAGAATAATAATTAATCTATAATCAGTATTTATTCTTTAAAACATAAAATTTTGGAGCAGAATAAGGAATAATATTGTTGAAATAGTACTTAAATATCATCGTAAACCTAAAAATTATTAATGTTTCAATGTTATTTGAAGACAAGGTTGTCATTGTTAACATTTGTCAGACATTCTATTTTAATTATATAGAATTTTTATAGTAAAATATTTGCTGAAACCTTATTCTTTTCTGTAGGTTTAGTCTAAATCTTCAAAAAAAAATATTGGCAATAGGTAATACGTAATTTTCCTTTTTATTATAGGTAAAGGAGGTAAAAATCGACGTAGGGGAAAGAACGAAAATGAAACAGAAAAACGTGAATTAATCTTCAAAGAAGATGGTCAAGAATATGCACAAGTCACCAAAATGTTAGGAAACGGTCGATTAGAGGCAATGTGCTTTGATGGAGTCAAACGTTTGTGCCATATCAGAGGGAAACTAAGGAAGAAGGTTAGCTATTCATAAAGCTAAAGAAATGTTGCTTAATCAATCAAGTAAATTTTTGGGGGCTGGTTTGGTGTTTTTACTCAGTCTGTACAGAAAATTTGACATGTTTACTATGCGTAATATTGACTGTCGTCAATTTTTGCTCAATAATGAACTATTTTACATGTAGAAATTGCCACCCTGACTACATGGCCCTTTTGACTTTTGACCCTGCATATATCTCTGATTGCTCAGTTGATTACAAGAATTTTGTTTCTGATTTCAAAAATATTAAGTTTGTTAGTAGTTTTTTAGTGGTTTTACATAATAAGTAAATGATTTTTGATAACAATTCTAAAGTAGCCATGTATGCATATAGTCCAACGAGAGGATACTACATTACAGTGACAACTGTGTCATTATAATTCACATGTAAATTGTACAGTATGATCGAAAAAAACGGCGTCAGCGATGGCTATGAAATGAAAATCACTGTCATTTTATATGTAAAAATATATGGGGAATGTCATCTATGATCATTTCTAAGCCAACTGGGCGCCGTTTTTTCTCGATCATATGGTATATTCTCTCATTTTTTAGATGTTGTCTGGTTAAAATCACATTCAAATCTTAACATAAAAAAGTATTCTTTTAAAATGTACCCTACATGAGAAATACCGTATGATCGGAAAAAAATGGAGTCCGGTTGGCTGGGAAATGACGATCGATGACATTTCCCATATAAATTTACATATAAAATGACAGCGATCTTCATTTCATAGCCATCGCTGACGCCGTTTTTTCTCGATCATACGGTATATATGTGAATATATTTTATTTCAAAATAATTATTATTAACTCTTAAACCACTACAGACAATATCAACAAACTATACCCCAGTTCCAATATTTTAAACAATATTGTATATAAAGAAATTAATTGTTCAGATAGGGTGTCCCAATATTCTGTGGATATAAAACTACTATGTATTTTTGGAATCAAAAAACGTGCACTGGACACAATTTACCTCTATACAAAATTACTTTGTCCAATAAAGAGCATCAACCTAACCAAACCAAACCTAACCTAACCTAACCTAAAAAAGATAAACACTTTTTAAGATATTTTAAAACCTGATGTTCCTATTTAAATGAGATTTGGGATGCCTATATCTGATAAACACTTTAACAGTCTGTGAGATGGCGTATTTTACAAAAAATTTACTATAAGGGCCATTTAGAAACATCAGTTTTTGTTTGAGTTCGAAAATATTTCTACCAGAATTTATGTAGGGATGGGGTACTTTTTACCCTTCTCATACCTTTTCTATATTTTTGTAAAAGTCAAATGTTAAAGCGCTTAGCTAGACAAAGGCATCCCAAATCTCATTCATATTGGAATATCAGTTCTTAAAATATCTTAAAAAAATGTTTATTTGTTGTAAGTTTGAATCCCTCTAACAGACAAATGAAGCACTTTTGTATAGAAGTAAATTGTGTCTAATGAACTTATTGTGTAATTCTATGTCCATGAAATATTGGGACACCCTATACCAGTTTGGTCATCGAATCTGTGTGGTCTGGATTTTAACATGTAAGACAGTAGTGTAGACAGCCTAATGGAAAATCAAATGTATTAAAAAGAGTTAAAAATTGGGTCGACACATTTCTTCTACGCGGTATTGCCGGATTTTGCATCAAAATTTCATACTGGAACTTTATTTTTCACTATTAATTACTCATTTTACTACAGCTGTAATAGATTATATTTAGTTTAGATATATTATCATTTCAGTAGTATATATGAAAGTTTTTAAAATAGCTAATATTTTTCTACACACATTTTCATACAAAGGTAAAAAACCGGCAAAACTGTATGCCGCGTTTGATTTTGTTTCTCTGTCTGTCAACCAGTCATTTATATTATTATCTGTCACACGCATTAAAATCTAGACCACATAAATTGGATGACCAGCAGGGTATACAATACTGTTCTACCATTATTTTCTATTGATTTAGATTAACACTGTTACATTTTTTTTAGGTATGGATAAATCAAGGGGATATCATACTGATAGGATTAAGAGATTATCAGGATGCCAAAGCAGATGTTATTCTGAAATACACACCTGATGAGGCTCGAAACCTCAAAACCTATGGTGAATTCCCTGAATCTGTTAGAATTAATGAAACAGTTACGTTTGTCGAGGATGGATTCGATGAAGATATTGAATTTGGTGATGATATTAGTTCAGGAGATGATGCCGATCCCGTGGACGGTATCTGATGGATTTGGATCTACAAATATAATAAGAAATGTAAAACAGTAATAGCCTTTTGTCACTTTCTTCGACTGTTGGCATAATTATCTAAATAAATCTATATTTGTATGGTTTTGTTGACGTTTTAGTGGTTTTATTTATTTAGGATATGCATATCTGGAAATAACAGATATTATGCCAACTTTTAAAGGAACTGGCGTTTTTTCTGTAGAAATAAATAATACTTTTTAATTTCTACTTTTTGTGATTAGTTATGTTAGAACGTCAAATAATGGAATTTTAACTACTGGATTATACATATTTAATTTTATAGCCTATGGTAGTTGATGTCTGTAAAAAAAGAACTAAACTGCTTTCTTTCACCATGTATTATATTTTCTTAAAATTTGTTTTTTATATTTCTTAATTATATAAACTGTCAGTTGGAAACATTGTTTATATTAATATTGAAATAATATGCAACAGACCATTTCTCTATTCTTTTTAGGTTAAAAATATTTAGGATATTTCCAATTTATTGGCTTATAATTTAATTTATTAAAATTTATAATTTACGATGAAACTTTTTATAAACTCTTAGTGCAAATGAAAAATATTCAAGTACTTGTTTAAATGTATATTAAATAAATTATACAGTAAAATCAAGTAACGTTGACTGCTTTGATGTCCATACACCAAAACTATCTTTCAAATTTCTCCAGTTATCGTTGTAACCTTTGCACACATTTTTTGCAGCTATATATGTCAAGTTTTTGTTTTCAACATCACTACATAATCTAATATTACATTCGTCAAGTTTAGTAATAAATGCATTGAAAATTTGTAGTTTACAAATTTTTAGTTGCGCTTTTACTGAATGCATATTTTTCTTAGTAGTGCCTTGTTTTTTGCCATCTACAGCTACCTCTAAAAACCTAAAATAACAACTATTAACTATATTTTGACAGAAAATTTCCTAACCATACAAAAACAACAGCGAATTTTTCAAGTCCCAAATTTTAAGTGATTTTATCATAGAGTTGTCAAATTTTAAGTAGTTGATGAAAAAGGGTTAATATCGGGATGAAGATGTAAGAAGCAACGCCAAAAACAATTTTTTAAACTGTTTTCTATTCTTAACGACTATTAAAAAAATTATTAATTTATTTCTATACAGGGTCCGGTAATAGTGCGTCGGGGCAAAGTAGCTCCGGGAATAAAAAACTTGGGAATTTTGTTTAAGTGTAAACCAGTAAACCTAAAGTATGTACCTGGATGTATTTCAGGAAAATATTTTAACTTCTATAGGGTGGTTCAAAAAAGTGTAAGTGGATCGGGATGATTTTTTTTAAATGGAACACCCTGTATATTATTGCATTTTTGGCGTCGTTTCAGATCACTTTACATAATCCTAAGATATGAATAAATATATTTCGATAGTTTCAGAGATATTAATAAATAAATAAAAAAATATATATTTTTCAACCTTCATTAAAAAAAATATTACAAATACAAGAACTGTCCTGAAATCAAAACTATATTAGGTATTTACTTTAGATAGTATATACTTAACTTTGCTATAAATATCGTAATCTTAAATCATACAGGATGTTCAAAATTCTACACCAAACTTTCTAAAATATAAACTAATTTTTCTTTGTTTTTTAAATGGAACACCCTGTATATTATAAATAAACATTTTTTGTATTTAAAGGTATTTCAAAATTTTTAATGGCTTGGCAGATACACGCAGTATTACTTCACATGGCTCTCTCAACGGTAAAATACGAGAGAAAAATAATTGGGTGGCTTTGATAAAAATTGACTATGGAAAATGCCATAGGAAATATAAAACAGCGAAACCGTTAAAAATTTTGAAATACTCTAAATACAAAGAATGTTCACTTTTTAATTCTCCATCTATTGAAAAAATAATATACAGGTTGTTCCCATAAAAAAAAAACGAAGAAAAATTATTTTGTATTAGAAAGCTTAACGTAAAATTTTGGAACATCCTATATGATATACGATGACTATATTTCTCTCAAAGTAAGTACAGACTATCTAAAGTAAATATCTAATTTAGTTTTGATTTCAGGACAGTTGTATTTTTAATATTTTTTTTTAAGAAAGGCTGAAAATATATATTTTTTATTCATTTATTAATATCTCTAAACTATCGAAATATATTTACTCATATCTTAGGCTTATGTAAAGTGATCTGAAAAGAAGCCAAAAATGCAATAATATACAGGGTGTTCCATTAAAAAAAATCATCCCGATCCATACACACTTTTGTGAGTCACCCTATAGAAGTAAAAATATTTTCCTGGAATACATCCTAGAACATACTTTAGATTTGCACTTAAACAAAATTGTTAAGTTTTGTATTTTAGGAGCTACAGATGCCCGACGCACTATTGCCGGACCCTGTATATTTGGTATTTTTAATATTTTTTGTTTTGTGTAGAAATTAAAATCTATGGCGAAATAAATGAAAGTATTGGTTGGGAAGAAAGATAAATGCCATTTCTTCATCATCCTCTTTTTATTTTTCTGCGTTTTTTTTTACTTGTGTTCTACATCAAAACGTAAAAAGCGTCAAGAAAAAGGCAGAGGCTTAAATGGCGATACTTGGTTGATATTTTATTTCACCTTTAACTTAAATTGTATTTTTTTGTATTTGTAGTTAGTAAAAAACAAAACAGTACAATAAAATAAGAGCTAGATAAAAATAATTCATAATTCAAATGCTGGAGGTACACACTCGGGTCGCCTCGGCGAGTGTGTACTTCCAGCATAATTGTATTTAATTTTTTTTCAGTAAACTTCTAGACATCTCTTTCACTGTACAAGGTTTTCAAAGATATATAGTTTTTTCAAAGAAACAAAGTTTACCTATTTGTGGTAGTAACCATTTTTAAATATAGGTCTTGTAAGGTTTTATCTGAACCACTGGAAAGCGAAATAGAAATAAACAAAAGACAAGAAGAAAGTTAAGGAAAATCTAATTTCCACCTTTTTTAATGGAACACCCTATATATTTTAAGTTTTTTTTAAAGATTTTCTTCCTATTTCGAACAGGTTGTATTGGCGTGAACCATTTTTTAATTATGTTTTTAACCAATGCAACCGCTCCCACACGTAGTGCCTTGATTTCTAGTACTATTAAGGTTGATTCTCACTATACCTCCCGTATCAGCTACTTTCCGTTTCCCTTCCGTTTACATAAAATATGATAGTAAATGAATGGGACAATGCACACTATCCGTTCCGTGTCCCTGTCGTTCCATGTTCTTTCCTTCCATACATTTTTTTGTGGACGGACTAAAGCGTATCGGAAACAGCGGTGTCAAGTTCTTACATTTGTATTATTATTTATTTTTTCACCTCTCAATTAAATCTATTACCTTTTTCAAAAGATACAAATTTTTAAAACAACTTTCGTAATGATATAAATTGTACAGTAAAAAGTATGGAACTGATACGAAACGGAAGCATAGTATAGCGTGAATGCAATCAAAAATACGGAACGGATATGAAATGAACGCAGAAGGTATAGTGAGAATCAACCTTTAGGTATACAATATGCATTCTGTGTGATACCTGTTGTATTGATTAATTCAAAATAATTGAAAAATTATATACGGAGACATAGACAAACTATACGATTGACATCGGAAGAAAAAAATCATATAATATACAGTGTGTTCCATTAAAAAGTAAAGTTTAAAATTATTCTTATTTTTGTGATCGTCTTTGTTTATTTTTTCGCTGTCTGGCGGTTCAGGAAAAAACTTACAACTTCTACATTTATTTTTTTTATTACCTTCAATCGGTGAGTCTGCGGGTATCGCCTTCTATTGTTTAATTATCAAAATATTCGACTTCAAGATAAAAAAACTTTGGACACATACTTCAAAGGAGCCGAGGCTTATTGTCGCTTCTGTATAGCTAAGGTATTTTGTGACTTTGACATGTAATTTTTTCATGTAATGGCGCATTATCACGACTCGTGTACTTGACAAACATGTTTAATTGGTATGGTTTGTATAGAACTAGGAACTACGCCGCATTCTCGCCATACCTTGTATGCCAATAAAAATACTTGCCAAGTAGACGAGTCGTGAGAATGCGCCTTAAGATTTGATTACCCATCGTTTCCAATTGAAAACCACAAAATGCTATCAGGGCTCGGTTGTTTTTCTTCAGATTTGCCAAATGGAAAATTTATATTTGCTTGACCACATTGCAGAATATGCCTTTCAAAAGGAAATGATAAAGAAACGGTTCCTAGTCTATCATAAAGAGCTCTTTTTAAGGCATCCTCGTCGAATGGTGTGTTTTGATCTATAGTAAATGTGGATAAATATATTGGATATTCCAGAAAAGTCATTAACAGAGCCCCTTGTATTCCTAAATGACACCATTTTGCCAACTTGTCACTGCAAGACACAGACATAGTAGGGTCACCTCTACCTTTATAACAACAAAAGTTTAATGTGAATTGATACATTCCTGACACATACATATAATAATACATATAGAGAGTGGATCACTGTTTTGGAAAAGATTCAGAGCATGTTTGAGATTTGAACTTTTTTCAAAATGTGAATAGAAATAAGAACAGTACTTAAATATATACATCCCTAGAAACACGCCTAAATTTTTTTTTTCGAAAAAAATAAATTGTTGAAAATTTAAAATGTTTCTTAACATTTTCCGGGAAATTTAAAAAGAACTTTTTAGTGCCACGGTTGGCCTCGATGGCATTGTCGAAATACATCGAAAAGGTAGCGAAAAAACAAAATTATGTATTTAAAATTGGGGAGTGCACCATGTATTTTCTTAGATTAAAAGTAGTTCGTAAAGTAGCGATAAGAGACAATAATTCTCACCTTTCAGAAAGGTATTCAAAGTAATGTGCGTTTTTCAAGGTGTTTTGTAAATCAGAGGTTCAAATTGTGATTAAGCCTATATGAAAATAATGTGTTAGAAATAGAGACTGTTATTTTAGCAGTTATTATAATAGTATGTACAAGTAAAGCAGCACAATGGAGTGTATTTTAGTTAAGTGTGTATCGAAAAAGAAAACTGTCACAGTTACATCGATCTGTCATAAGTATCGTTTTTTAATGTTGGTTAAGTTGTCTTTTAATTTATTTTGTGTAATAATATCACAATCTTAAAAATGTAATGCATCTCTGCTAAACTCCTCAGGTGGTGTGATTTTATGCTTATTTTTAAGCATATACTTTCTTGTCCATATGGCAACACAGGACGTCTAATTACCTGAGATCCAGGATTGATGTGCCGGCTTGATCCTAGTAATTGGATGTAGTTGCTATTATTTTTTTAAATTTCAAAGTTAAATAACTCAGTTATTAATAATTTATTTTAAAAATGGTAAAGAGAAAGCATGTTTCTTTTGACCAGATCAACCACCCCTTAAAGTACTTGCACTTATTTCTGGGACACCCTGTATATAGAGTATGTCCCCGGATTGTCTTAACAAAAGAAAAAACTTTTTATTTTGAATTTTTGAAAACAGCTGAAAAATCACAAGGGTTTTCTATGGCAATATAATTTCGATTTCGTTTTTTGATAGATGAATCTATGGATAATGGATAGATGGTTATTATTAATTTTGATTAACGTCATATTTTCTTGCTGTAGAATATAGAATGAGTGGGAGAGGGGTTAATCACCGCGACCCTACAGATCTATTGATCTATTGTCCCTATTTTTTTTTGCTGTAGTTAAAAGTATATTTTCCAATAACAATTATCACCCTTTCCGTAGCGTTGAACTAAATAAATTTTGTGCTTCTTTAACATTTAAAACACCAAAAAACGATATGGAAATTTGGAAAAGTATAAACGGGATTAACCATTTTAGAACAAGCAACAATTTTTATGGAGAATGATTTTTTCTCAAAATGTCAATAATAAAAGGTTCATGCACAGACGTATACCCTGCTGGCAAGCGAACCTTTAGGTCAGCGTTTACATGTATAGGAGTGAGTCGTTATGGCAATCTAGTAAGTCGGAGTGAGCAAAAATACGAGTATTTATTACATAACTACTTAATCAGACGATAGATTTCATGCGCTTGAGAAAATATTCGCCTTCTCTCTTTATTTAGTAGGTACTTCATCGTACGGTACGTCATCTTATCTAAGCGTGTTGACCGTACTCTTCGTACATATGTAAACCGGCACCCAAGACCAGAAATGCCGACCCTTACTATGCAGGGTCGCTAATATGTATGGAAACGGCCGATTATTGGGCAATGTATTCGAGGTTCCGCCGTAGTTAAATACAAAAGTTATAGGTTTTTTAAATGCCTAACATTTTGTAATAAATTTAAGTATACAGAGTCGGTCATCAAGTCGTGGCACTTCAAAGATTCATTTTTTTAAACGGAACCCCCTATATCATCAGGTATGTCAATTCCTCCTTCAATTTTAAGCAAAAATTGTAATATACATAATGTACTTAAATCCAACCGTTTCCGTTTTTTTTCCAGACTTGATATAATGCTAACTTGAAAACTAAAAACTAATGTCAAATATTATTATCACAGAGTTCCCGCAGAATGACATCGTTAAATGAAACAAGCAGTATTTTTATATAATTCCTCAAGATTGTGACCTTAGAATAATTCAGAAAATAATTAATTTTAACAATATAATGGGGATAATTCCAGACAATTTTGAGGCCAAGAACTCCAAAAACTCTCCTCAGAACCCTCAAAAAAATTACAATTGATTAATAATCGTCTAGGAATAAGTGCGAAAATTTGACATACGGCCACGTTTAGACTAATGAATAAGGTCTTTGACCATTAACACACATAACATTGTTTCTTGTTAAAGTAAACATAATTTCTAATTTACAAATATACCATAAAGAAATAATATTAACTGAGAAAAAAGGCCAATAAAATAAAGAACCTTTAACATATGTATGGAGAGTAGAGGGTTATCTACCCTCCATAAACATATACCTTGGCGATACAAAAAAAATTAAAAGGAACTAAATCCAAAGCTGCTGGGTTTATATCTTCACCTCTAGGAAGATCATGACAAACCACCTTGGGTAGACCTCATACAACCTCTCAAATAGTGCTGTTCAGACTCGGCTATAACATGTAGGTCCCGTGTACTTGTGAAAAACTGATTACATACATCACAAATAATATATGTAAGAAGTCGCATACCCTCTGATAGAACTTGGCACTATAATAAGAAGGCGATTACTGTGGTCTAATACAAGATTACTCGGACACATTACAAATAATGGGAAAGGGTCACGTATACTCTATACAAAGCCATGTCACCATTACTTAAGTATGGCAGTATAATAGTATAGTAAGTGTATATCAAAAAAGTAACAGTCCCAACGTTTAGTAATTATGACTCGTCTATATAGTCTGTCCAATGAGAAAATATAGGACAGTGACAGTTGTTGGTCTGCCAGTCTAAACGAGTCCGAGTATTGTTTTTTTTTATGTCGGTCTGTAGAAATTATTTGTTCTCTAGCTGGATACTGGATATACTTTAGTAAATTCTATATATCAATTTTCATGTATTGATTTAATATCAAATTTCTGTATATAATTTATAAAATAACCAATTTATATTCTACACTACCTGGTTTTGTTCTAACTATTCCAATAGAATGATAATCAGATTCCCTGCATTTTAAATCACATTTTATGCTTTCCGTGAATGATTTTGCTCCTGTCCTAAAAATAACTCCTCTCTCAGTTTTAAGCCTTTTTTGTAAATGATCAAACTGTTCATCTTCTATAACATCTCCAAAATTATCATCTACGGTTTGTTTCTCAAATATTGCTGCGTCACCACAAGGAACATGAGTTGTAAAAAAATGAAAATAGATATTAGGTTTTAAATAATGTCTTTGTTTGTTTCTATCAAAATTAAAAATAGAAGTGGTCTTTCCCATTTCGCCATACAAATATCGCAAAAATGCTCTTCTACATATTATTTCTGCATGACTGTCATTAAGTATTGTACCCTTCGCACACATTTTTGTTCTACCAATGCATTTGGTACCTGTACCTAAAGCTACCACTTGAAAATTACAAAATTCTTGTTTTACAATACATGAAAGTACTGTCCACTCATTTTCTTTAGGCTTTTTAGCTCTTGGAAGACCATTGAAATGTTTGAGACAGCAATCAGCAATTGTCTGATGTATGTTTTTTTGCATATTGCATCTTGTTTTCTACCAGTATAATATCTACATTGATCTACATCCACTTAATCGACTCAAGATGATAATATAATAGTAACACAATAATTTATATCAAAGGACCAATAACAGTACAAATACAAGCAGCCTTAAAAAAGGTATATAAAATATAAAGGCAAAGGTGTTTTAAGTGACTGACCTTGAGACGTCACCTCAAGGTCGAGTTTTGTTGCATTTGCGCATAGAAGGCTGCATTTGTTCTTCACAGATACTACGCATGTGCAGGTCGCCCATGTTGCCAGATTGTTGGATATTTTCGAATTTCTCACTTGAAAAAATGTTTTTTGAGTATTTTCATATTCATTATTAAATGGTCTGTTAAATGTATTGTATGTGTATTGTTATTATTGCATTGCAATTATTATTTAACGTTCCAATTGATGAGAATTTTGTGTACAAAATCAAGAAAAGAAGGATAATGGAGATTGTCAATAAATAGGCTATATACCGGGTGCGTCTCAAAAGTGGCTCGCCCCTATAACTTTTTTATTTTTTTAGTTAAAAAACTAGATTTGGTATGTTAGTATATGACATAAATTAGGATTGATTGACGTATTCAATTGTTTTCGGTCAGTCACTTCCGGTTTCACCGCAACTTTTGATTTTTAAATGGCACCCCCGGTATTTTTTTTGCTTTAATCGGTAGAAACTGTAACTCTGAATAGAATGGCACATCATATGTCAACTTTTGACATTTTCGCATATGGTTTATTTGAAATTATAACTTGCGGTTCGTAACAAAAATTTGACTTGAAATACCAAGTGCGTGGTATCAAATTATTCGTAAAAAAATGCTTTTTCCAAATATGCTAATGAGCCACCCTCGTTCCATTTGAAAAAATTGAGTTATTATTAAAAATACGATTTGAGAATTTTTTTAACTGGCCAGGACAAGACACTAAAACATTAGACGATCAAATCTATTTTTCCAAGGCTCCTTGATGAAGAATTAGTGTTTTTAACATAGGCATAGCACTCTAGATTGAATTTTAAAATACAATTTTTTATTTAGCGAGAATGTCAAAAGTTGACATATGATATGTCATTCTATTCAAAATGTCATTTTCTATCGAATAAAGTAAAAAAAATACCGAGGGTGCCATTTAAAAATCAAAAGTTGTAGTTATTTCCGGTGAAACAGGAAGTGACCAAAAATAATTGAATACACCAATCAATCCTAATTTATGTCATATACTAACATACCAAATCTCGTTTTTTATCTGAAAAAATAAAAAAGTTATAGGGGTGACCACTTTTGAGACGCACCCGGTATAATACACATAGATTATAATCTGAGTTGTAAGTATGAATAATTCCATTTATTTATACATATATTTACAATAGAATTAAAAATTGTTATCTACGGATAGTTTTCTTAAGTTTTAATTTTTTTAAAAAATTTCTTTTAGCGTTCCTGAAGCTAATAAGTTTTTATAATAAGTTTATTATTTTTATGAATAGTTTTAATTTTTAATCATACATAAAAGGCTTGTTTTAAAGTATTTTTACTGAAACAAAATTATGATTCAACTTGTCTTTTGGCCTACTCTGATCATTTTATAGTATTTAATAAATTTTAATTAATTTCAAATCAAATTTCAAAAAAATAATTTTTAAAATTCCAAAAAAATAAGATTTAGCAAAATGTATTGAAACAGTACAATTTTATAAAAATATTTTTTTATTTATATGTAACAAATTATTTTACATTTATATAAATATAACAACAAAAATATCTGGACAAACAAAACATTATTTATAGGGTTTCCAAAGCGGGATCCAGGTGTATGTTTAATCCCGAAATCCTGAAAATCTCGAAAAATTTAAATGCCCAATCTAAAATGATTCTTTAGTCTTTAAAACATCATATTTTATTTATACTAAGCAGAACGTCAATATCTAAAAGTTATATTCCCGTGTTTGCTATTTTTCTTATTTCAACAAGAATTAATTTTTTAAACACTAAATATCAATGTTACTTTGTTTTGCCTATTTTAATAAAGCTCTTGTCCCATTCTCTTTTTTAAAATATGTATCTGCATTTTTATTCGGTATTTCTTTAGATTAAATTTTGCATTTTGACAGTCAATCTCGGGAGCCCGGGATTATAGGTTCTAATCCCGGGATTTCAAAACGGGATCCCGATCCTGAAAATTGGAAACCCTAATTATTTATTTGATACATAACCAGCAGCAGACAGCGCTTGTCGGGCAGCATTGTTAATATGTTTAAAACGATCTGGGCCCAAAAGTATACCACCATACCTATAAAAATTAAAAAAAAGTTGTTTAGCACTGATAAACTAATTCTAAATAAAAATTTACCATCTAGTAACTACTACTGCTACATTCTTTATGTCCATAATCTGCAGTAAATGTAATAAGCGGCCACCAGCGTGATTTTCGCCGTCATCGTCACAATCCTGAGAAAAGAAAAATAAAAGATATTATGCTGAAGTTGAGACTGTAATTTGTCTAACGCGTTGAATAAAAGTACTAAGGCATAACCAAAGTTATAAACAGCCACAACCCTAATTTATTTATTTTTTGAAGTGAATCTTCTTTATGCGCGATGGGAGTAAAAATTCAAGGCCGTGACACACCACGGCCTTGACACGACATGGCTTTGACCATACCTTGACACACGAGCTAGCGAGAAAAAAAGTGGTAAGGATCGCGCAAACGCCAAAAACATTTGATTTAAAGCTAAGAAAAGCATTTTAATAAACTTGATACTGTAATTCCGTACCAGTATCCTCTGGTTGTGTGCTAAGAAGTAAATTTTCATGCATATTCTCATCGATAGGTTTGTAGCTTCTGAATAACGGTCTAGGCAGAGCATTTAGCTCATTTGCTAGATCAGAATTAGAATTATTAGAGTTAAGCAACTCACATTTTCATTGGAGGACATCGTCATATAATTTAACAAAATTACTGTAAATCGCTATAAATACGAATAGCCTTTAGCGAATTGCTTTTAATTCTTATTTTATACTTTTAAGTGCATTTAATTTTAAGCTTGTTTTTAAAAAGTTTTTTTTATCAATTTTTTCACTTGTAAATTTTTCGCTTAATATGGGTCCTATAGGGTGTCCGATTTAAAATGAGGTACATGGGGATCTTGGAAACCATTGAAGATACAAAGTCGGTTAAATGAAAGCAAAGTTGCGTATTTGTGTGCCCAAAAATAATCTATGTCTATTTTATTTTAAATCCATACCGTTACGTAGATACAAGGTGAAAAAGAAAAAATGAACATTTTTGAAAAACCACCATATTTTCTTTATTATTGGAGGTAAGGTAATCAAAATTTCAATATATGGGCAATATATGTTTTCAACCATGTATTGCAATATGGCGCCCATAGGAAAAGCAAAAGTGCACTTCGGCCATGCGCAACATAGTAAGCCTAGACTTTTTTGAACATGATTTTTAAAATTTCCATATTGCCTTACTCCTATGTTAAAATTTTGATGACCTTAGCTCCAATAATAAAGAAAATATGGTGGTGTTTAGAAAATGCACATTTTTCTTTTTCTCCCTGTATTTACGTAACGGTATATGAATATTAAATAAAATAGACGTAGATTATTTTTGGACACACAAAAACGCAACTTTTCTTCTATTTAACCGATCTTGTAACTTTAACGGTCTTCAAGATCTCCATTATTCCCCATGTAGGTACCTCATTTTAAACTGGACACCCTGTATACGTGTGCGAATTTTCAGATCAATACAATTAAAATTTAAGATTTGGTTCCTTCTCCTTAATACGGCCCTATATCAGATCAATAATATGATAATTTTACATTGTCTTAGCTTCTATATACGCATGCAAATTTTCAGTTTAATATGATAATTAAAATTTAAAATTTGGTTAGGTTAGGCTCTGACAGCTCAAAAACTCAATAATTTTGTATTGTCAAAAACCAAGTGTTGTTTGTCATCGCTTTCAAGTAAACCCGTCCTCCATCTCACAAGTAGCTTTGTTTTTAAACTAGTAATAAACTCCAAATATTAATCACAATAAACCAAATTTAATATACAAACTACATCCGAGCACAACGCGATATGTCGTATTCTAGCTTGTTCTGTTAGAAATTCCACAGCGTGCAGACAGCACCGTTTACTCTAGCGGAAATACCGATCGAAGCAGTGACGTTAGGCCGCGTTTAGCGGATTCAAACGATCACGATAAATTCGCACGGATTTTTGAGGCATAAGCCTTTTACGGAATGTTATGAAACTTTGCATACTGAGTTTTAATGTCATAATGAATGATTTTATGAGAAGTAGGCACGTTTTAATTTTTTTGTGAACATTTCTATTGTTGATTAGGGTCAAAATTTGTTCTCTTCTTAAATAAATTTAAAGTGTGCATTTTGGGTGATATTCCACAAAATTTGCAGGCTATTGAGGAAACAGAAAGAAAAAAAAAACAGCAGACAGCATATGTCACTTTTTCAAACATGTCCTTCAAATCCTCCAATTTAATAGCTGTTGCCAAAAAGTTTTACTTCAAATATGCGTACATTTTTTTTTCTGTCATTTTTTGGAAGTCATCTGTAGAGAACGTCCCTTCCTCTTGTACAGACTTTACTTAATTATGATTATTGTATTGTTTCCAGTAATGAGAATGTAGAATTAAAATAATCGTGGATATTGGGAAGGCTGAAATGAAACAATTCTGTGCGAAGTTTCGCAACTTTAATGTGGCTTCTTCCCAAAACATTTAATATTCCAATTGCCTACAAAAGTAATTCATGTTAGAATACTAAATGTTTTAGTGCCTGAAGAAGCGACAATAAACTCGCGAAACGTCGCACAGAATAGAATTGTTTCATTTGAGCATTCCCAATACCAACAATCTTTTTCCAAACCAAACCAAACCTCACCTGTAACAATGTATCCTTTGTTGTATTGATCCTATAAGCCAGTATATTATGATTTGCTTGAGCAATTTTTCGATTTTCGAGTAGTATGTTATAAAATTCTCTAAAATTAATACATTAAAAAGCTGTTTGAAAGAATATAAAATTCCAAGCTTACCTAACATCATCAAAGTTTGTAACTTTACAAACATGTCCCTGAAAACTACTTCTTCTATCTGTAATAATCCCACCATGGCTAATATGTAACATTTTACTATTCCTTTCATTTTTCCTAACTTTAATTTTAGCATTATCTTGGCAATCAACTGGAGTGTCGATTTTTACGTCTGTATATGTTTTAAAGGAAATATCTTTCAGTTTTTCAATCCACTGATAGATTATGGGTCCACCTTGGTTCTCTCTAAAAGTATATTTCAATATTTATATAATCACTACATTGCAAAAGTTACTGATGTAATTAAAAAATTTATTCTTTAATGTCATGCCGCGTTCTCACGATTCGAGTACTTGGCAAGTATTTTTAATTGGCCTACAGAGTCTGGCGGGAGTGCAGCGTATTTCCTATAATAAATAACTTGGAAATTTTGTATAGATGCTCGACGCACCGTGTATACCAATTACAAATGTTTGCCAAGTACACGAGTCGTGAGAATGCGCCTTTATGTATTGTACAGAGCACAGGGTGTCTGAAGAAAGCCGCATCTTTCTATCTCTACTCATAAACGAGAGACCTTGTAAAACACCACAAAATAAAACACCCCGTGCATCACTAAATTTTATAATAAGTCATTTAGATTTCAACTATTGGTGTTTGACCTGCATTTTAGTTAAAATTTTCAATTTTAAAATATGTAATAAAGAAGTTTTATAATAATAATATATAATATATAGTAATAAGCAATCTATTTTTACACTAGTCTAAGTTGGTTTATCAACAATCAACATATTTATGGTCTTGATATTTTAAGCTAAGTCTGTCCAGGGAGAGAAAAAATAGTTTAGACGACATGATTTCTTATAGGTACCTATTTATTATTTTATGGTTTACACATGGTAGCCAATTAGAATGAATTTAGAATGAGTGGGAGGGGGGGGGTTAATCACTGCGACCTTACAGATCTATTGTGTCCCCCTTTCTTGAGTTATAACTCATCATACAGTCCCAGGGCTTTGACAAAAGCCAGTATCTGGGACGGTTTTATAGAGGGTAGTTCTCCATCTCCAATATCAGTCGTACCAAAATTCATGGCACGAATGGTTGTCGTCTCGGCGCACTTAGTGATGAGGTAGCCAAACACTGTCAGGGAAAAAAATAGTCATATATTCTCTCACTGAGCATACTATACCCTTAGCTATACCTGATTTAAAACTGTATTATATGCTAAGTCGATTCTTACTTTACAAAGTCAATCATACCAATAGTATGAGGTTCACAATTTTGTGAGTAATGGATTACTTCAGATTTCAGATATACATATTTTATGTAAAGTGTTATAAAAGTAGATATATTGTTAAAGGAAAAATACCGTATGATCGAGAAAAAACGGCGTCCAGTTGGCTGCGAAATGAAGATCGCTGTCATTTTATATGTAAATTTATATATGGGAAATGTCATCGATCGTCATTTCCCAGCCAACTGGACGCCATTTTTTTTCGATCCTACAGTAGTATACACTTACCTAAATATGTCAAAAAAACTTTTGTCGATAAGATCTTTTTGAAATCTATTCAGATTGGGAGCCCATAATTCATATTTTGGAGGTTTAGTTGATGGGTAATCAGGATTTAAAGTTACCCATAATTCAATATCTTTAGTTATTGCTATAGAATAACTATCCGTTTTCTTATTGTATATCCAGGCATCTTCAAATATGGCCTTTAGAACTTCAATCTCTTCAGCTTGTTGCGTCAGATTATCCATTTGAATTTCTACAGGACGTGACTATCGTTATAAATAAATATCTAAAAAGTTAAAAGATTTAGGTATACTTATAATTTTAAGTTGTAACATATAACACCTAATAATTAATTTGATTATTAACACTTCATAATTATTACTCTCAAATTTTATTAGTAATAGAAAATGGTCTTGTTTATTTTCATATTTTTATAATATTCCAGTTATAACATACTATAATACATGCTGTAGAAGTATGTATTAAATATTTTCATTACCATTTTACCATTCTCCCATGTTAAAACTACCATAACTACCCTTTTAAATATGATTTAAGATTTAAATCATCTGGAATCTGGAATCTGGATGTCAGTTAATCAGCTGTGTTCTTTGAAAAAAAAATGTATACGAAAAAAATATTCCAGAGGAAAGAATCTATAATCTATGGGAATCTTAGATCGGAATTATGTATTGATCTTTCTTCTTTCTTAACTACATGTTTCTCCCACTTACTAAAATTATATATGATTTTGGCACACCCTAGTACGCAATATGGTACGCAGAGAGCTTTCTCTGAATAAAACCTATCAATGGAATAAAAAAAGTCATACAAACCGAAAGGCCGGATAGTCCTAGCATGGTCCTAGCTGGTCCTAGCAGCTTAGGCCTTTAAATTGATTAAACAAATAAAACAAATTCTACTCTGTGGTGATTGGTGATGTGAAATGCCAAATTTGAAATCTTTAAATTTTTTTAAATTCCAGCAGAGAAATTCGTTAGTGTTTTTTATTTACTAAAATAATTCTTTAGTAAGTATACAGAAATTCAAAAATGTCTTTCTTGAATTCCCTTATTGAAGAATATTACAAATCTGAATTAGAGCTAAAAAAAGCCAAGGAGATATATGAAAAATTTGAAGAATCTTTACAACAAAACCTTTGTACTCACAATAAGCAAAGTTTACCTGTATCTGATGTAAATTCACAAAGTAGCAGGTTTAAAGGAAGTAGGAAGATGCTCGAAACTAAGAACATAAAATCATCGCCATCTGTAAGCAGCACCAAAAATGGGGATGATAATTCAACATTAAAATTAGTTGAAAAGAAAATACATCAATTTGAAAATTATTCCAACTTAATTAAGCAACACAAAGAACCTGTAGAGAAGAATCACTTTTTTCAGATGTTAAATAGTAACTAAACATATAATTTCAGTTGATTTTTTATCTTTGAAATTTTAAATAGCAATTAGTTTACTGGTGTTTATTGATCAAACTTCAAAGTCATTGTTCTGCCATTCAGAAAAATATACTTATAGAAATGGATGTTACCTATGCATATCAGAAAAAACGAAGCGATTTTGGTAGACAGTGTTTATTTTCTGAAAGGGGGCCAGATTTAATAGATAACTTTCCATCAAATAAAAAGCTTGCCAAAGAATTTATATTCAGGTACTGATATATGTTCAGCTCATGTACTTACTAGCTACAGTTCATTTGTATAGACATTATGTTTATATTTATATCTAGAGATCCAGTCGATAGAAGTACACAATGTGCTCCTATTCAAGCAGAACACTATTTAAATACTATGCGAGCAGAATTTACAAACAGCTCTATGAATCATATAGAAGGTGGTTGGCCAAAAGATATTAATACAGCTGATGAAGAGCAGACAAAAAGATATCGCAGGAAAATTGAAAAAGATGAGGGTTTTAATCATACTATGATGCAACTTTTTAAAGTAATTAAAAGTTAATTTTAAAATATTATTAAATCTACTTCAGTATAATTTATTAGAGTATGGAAAATTGTATTCAGCAAAATAATGCTATTAATATATATCAGCAATATTTTTCTGATGTTGAGCCTACACCTCTGGTTGAAAGAAGTTCAGCTCGAACTGTAAATGTCTATCAAGACCAAAGTTCTCCTACTAGGCCTGTTAATTACATATCATGGTCACCTGACAATCAAACTAAACTAGCTGTAACCCACTGTAACTTAAAATTCCAAAGTGTTGTTCCTAAGGAAACAACATTTTCCTATATTTGGGAAGTTGGTAAGTCATAGCCATATATTCAACAAATTTTGAAATCTTAATTAAAATATTTGGATGATTTAGAAAATCCCAATAGGCCTCTTTTAACCTTAAAGCCTGAATATTCAATTGTATGCCTGGAGTATAATCAAAAAGATCCCCACTCATTAGTTAGTGGTCAAATTAATGGTCAAGTAGCTGTTTGGGATACCAGGAAGGGATACGAACCTGTTGAACTTAGTTTAATTGAAAACAGTTTTAGAGATCCAGTTCATGAAGTTTTGTGGATTAATTCCAAGAGTGGAGCAGAATTCTTCAGTGCTTCTACTGATGGTCAAATTAAATGGTAATTATATGAGAAATAATTGTAAATTTAAAGCAAATTAATTTTAACTATTTTTTTTTATATTAAATTATGATTGTTTATAGTGTTGTAAAATGAGAATTTATTTTTGGAGAATGTTCTCTCAGAATAAGGGAGTTAATGTTGAGAATCTATAGTTAGAGCAACGAAAATAGGTTGGAAAATCAATCAGTTGCTTTTTTATAATTCAATCTGAATTTTTTGTTGACTGAAGACTACACGGGAAAAAACAGATATATCACATTATCATAGAAATTCACCATCAAAGAAAGCAATAATACTCAAGTAAATATAATAATATACTCTAAGTAACAGGGGCGACTCGTAGCACTGGAAGATGGTGAGGCACATTAGAAGAGAATTTTTATTAGTATGTATATAGGGTGGCGATTAGTACGAGGAAGTTCTATATAAAAAAAGTACATATCCTAAAAAAAAATATTTTCTTTAAAATTGCAATCGCATTACCATTTTTCTGTACAGAATTGGGTTCAGCATAAAATTCAGAATACATCACACTATTGATTTATTTGAAGCACTATTGTATATGCGGGATTTCCATGATAATTCATATTTGAAAAATTTCATATTTTAAAAAGTGGTAAAAACCTGGAGTGAATTTAACTTATTGATATATTATTGCTTAAGTACATATAATATAGCGAGGTATGTAGGATAAAAGAAGGAATCCGAGAAAAATTCATATTCACAGGGATTTTTTTATGGCGCGGCCAACATTGCAATATTATAATGCTATATCTCAGTTTTTTTTTAATGCAATACACAGTGTATATTATTTTTAGTATTTTAGATACCTACAGACTTAAAAAGCGCACGTTTTTGTATTTAAAATATTTCTAAATTTTTAGCAGTTGCGGAAGTAGCCTTATGTAATATAATTCGCAGTATTATACCGTATCGAAAAAAAAACGGCGTCCAGTTGGCTGGGAAATGACGATCGATGACATTTCCCATATAAATTTACATATAAAATGACAGCGATCTTCATTTCATAGCCAACGCTGACGCCTTTTTTTCTCGATCATACGGTACCTATTACATAGGGCTATTGCAACAGTAAATTTTTATCAAAGCGACCTCAGGATATTTTTTCTTATATTTTACTCTGTATGGTAAAATTTTGTTTTTCTACCCATCCTATAAAAATAATACAAAACGAAATCTGTAACAGGTCGCTTTACTTTTTGACTATACACAATTTATCTAGAAATGATTCGAAAAACTTTACCTGGGGAAGTCCTCTGATGATGCATGGTCCCTCTAAATCATCATATCAATCAAGAATAAGTCACTGCCCACTTTTTAGGTATTTACTTAATATGTACAGTAATCAGTAAAAAGAGTAGTTAAACATGCAATTCACATTAAAAAAACGTAGATATTAATCAGTTAGAGACAAAACAGTGTAATAACCGGCAGAATTAATTCAAACTCTGATTCAAACTAAGCCAAATTCCCAAATAATGCAATTCTGCATTTTCAGCCTGTCGCCTAAAATCTCTCGGGCTGATCGGGAACTGATCGGGAAGTGATACATAATTTTAACGAACGGCTTTTAATGTTCAAATTTACATTTGAGGCTCGCCTCAATACGGTCTTTTTACGCGCTACTACTCCATACATTTTATCTCTCTTCAATTAAAGGTTTTGCCTATGCTTTTTCTTTTCATTCTATAGAGTTAAGATTCCAGTGAACGCTGTCGCTCCGTCAGTGCGATATACCACAATATGCTAGACAAGGAAAGGCGAGAGGCAAACCTCTGCACATATACTTCTTAAAGAACAAATGAGATGGATATATATATATATATCGTCGAGTTTGTCGCATATGGGAAAGGAAGCGCGTTTAAAGGAATACCATCGACGTAATTTATTGTAGAATGACGGTTAAAAAATACAATTATTATTGATGCAAATAGGGAAAAAAATATAAAATTGTGATTAAAGATGTATCGATTAATACATGTAATTTTTCAAATGTATTGGTAAGGCACTGCCTCATCTGCCTCATAGGACAAGCCGTCCCTGCTAAGTAAGTATGATATTATACTCTAAGTCCCAGAGGTATTACAGTTATTTCGCCGTACAAGGAAAAAACCAGAGCATTCCACGCGTAAATGGCAAAAACCAGAGATGTCCTTACGCATGGGCGACAAGTATGCATCTTGCAGTTGCATACATCAAATCAATACATTATCAAAAAAAAATACTAGTTTACATGTAGATTTTATACAACCTTTAATCGGACATCCTTGATTTTCCTCTGTTTTGTTTTGCATTTTGACATTTCGATGGTCTTATGCAAGACCGGCACAACTCCAAAAAATGCTTTTTTGAGATTTCTGCATCATATTTGGAATTTAAATTACTTTAAACTCAAAAAAATCACTTTAAAACATGTAAAAAATATTTATACAGGGAAGGTTTTCGTTTGTTAATATACATGTTCTTATAATGAGAATGTCCTTTCTATTACAACAGTAGTTTATTAAGAGTTAATTGTTTTCAACTGATTCAAAAGTTTATAAAAAAATAACTTCCATATGTAGGTGGGACATAAGGAAATTATCAGAGCCGACAGAAACTTTGATTCTGGATTATGCCAAAGATGAAGAACAAAATATGGCAAATGCCTTAGGTGCTTCATGTTTGGAATATGAGACCACTATACCTACACGTTTTATGGTTGGTACTGAACAAGGAATAGTTATCTCATGTAATAGAAAGGTACTTTTTTTATAATCTTTAATTTTTATCGTTTATTATATCATTGTTGAATTTATCAGGGCAAAACGGCAATGGAAAAAATGTCTGCTAGATTTACGACGCACATGGGCCCAGTACTATCGCTTCAAAGAAATCCGGCTTTCGTTAAAAATTTCTTGACCATCGGAGATTGGTCGGCGAAAATTTGGTCAGAAGACTGCCGAGAAAGTTGTATTATATGGACCGGATTCCACAAAGCTATGTTGACATCAGGTGCTTGGAGCCCTACTAGGTAAGATCAATTCATAATATCCTTGTTTGTACAAGAATAATACATAAATATAATAAACAATCCTATTGATAATTATTTTTTTATACTGCAGATATTTTAACTGGTAGTATAGTTCAACCCCAGAAACACGCCTATGAGGTTTTTTTTGCGAAAAAAAAATGTTGAAAATTTTATATTTTTCTTGACATTTTCCGGAAAGTGTTGAAAAACTTTTGAGTGCCACTGTTCACTCCCCGGGAAATTCGTTTACCGGGCATAGAGAGTGTCGGAGAGAATGCAACGTTGCCACCTCCTACCATACCCACATTCTGCATGTTTATCTATAAATTCAATTATTTTAAGTTGCTACAGAAAAAAATACGAAAATTAATTTTATTCATTTAGTGTAGATTGCTCTACTAATTCTAGTGAAACGCGCAATATTTTAAATACTTTTTACAGTGGAGTAAACTGAAAAAAATAAATCTTAACAATTATAGCTTCTTTTTTCGCCATATTAGAAAATATTTTCAATCGTTTCAATAAACAAGTATAACCTTTAATGTTTAGTTAGAGCTTACCCTTTTAATGAAAGTGTTTTTATCCAGCACACATATACGCAAACACATACACACCAAATATCTATTAAACTGAACATCACAAACCTATCACATGCCTATCACTTTTAAAATATTATTTAAATTTTTTCACATGATAATAATCAAACACTAAACTCATAAATACAATAAAAAATGTTAAAAAAAACTTGCTTTAATAACTACTTATATCCGGCTGCTGATGGTAGACAGTCCGGGGTTTTCTTCGACATTTCTTCAAAACCGACGCAACCCCGATTTCGAAAACACTGAAGGAATTACAAATTACAAATTTTTATTTAGGAATTTTTTGACTTAGCGTCCTCTACTGGACTGATGTATTACTATTATGGGTCAACGTTTTGGTGGTTGTATAAAGATAGATAAATCAATTTTCTAAATGTTTAATGTATGGAGTAGGGATATCCCAAAAATAAAATAAAAGTACAAGAAAGGGTATACCCAAGAAAGAATTAAGGTAAAATCAAAGAGTATTCTACGTTATCTAAAATATAAAAATATGGGAAGCCCCGACAAAAATCTGACACCTGATATCAAAGTGATAAACAAACATCGGCGCATGCGGCAGCGAGCACTTACACTTAATTTTTCAGTTCATTGCTAGATGGCCTTTTACTAGGGATGCACTGCAAACAAATATTCCAGCAAAACTAAAGTGTTTTTTCTTATTCTAAATTCTAACAAATAAATAAACCTGTAAAACTGTATAAATAAAATCGGTCTTCGATTTAAAAAAAAAGATCGATTATACCAAAAAATCGTTTGAAAAAAAGCACGTCGATTTGATAAAAATCGATCTTCGATTAAAATCGACTCGAATCGTACATCCCTAGTATGGTGTGTAGTTTAAGGTTATGTCACAGACTTTTAAACAGATGCGACCAAATACATTTAAATTTACATATACCGCGGCCTCCCCATAAGAGCAATGAGAGAATTTATGTCCCAGGATTGAAGGACAGAAGATCGAGTTTGACATAAGTCCATCCTTGTTCAGTAGATGGATGTAATGCACATGCGCCAAAATGCTACTTTTCTATTGGCCGAATGGTATCGAGATGGGTTATCGATTTATTTTTGGACGCGTCGTCGCGTCGTCGGCGTGGATTTTGTTTTCAGTTTGGACTTGGGCACTGCCCAATGGGCAGTCGCCATTAGAGTTTTCTCTAACTTTCTGTTTTCCACGTGTACTGTGTTTTCGTTTGTATTTTAATCTTTGTGCGTTTATTGACAATTTTGTGATTTAGTTTTAAAGACTTTTGCTGTAGTTTAATTAATAGAACAATGGGAATGGGCTACTGCTTCTTGTGTGGTAGAAGCCAACTAACCAAATTAATAATAGAAATTTTTCTCGATGTTCGTTTGTATCATGAAAGCAAAATCAGAAATGAAAGGGATGTTAATATAAGACAAAAATATACTAAACTAATTTTATTCAAAAATCAATAATTGTTAAAAGCATTATATTTAGTCTTACTATTTTAAAATAAAAAAGACATTATAATGTAAAGACTAAAAATAGAGACTACATAAGGCTAATTATAATGCTTACACAGTTACACACAAACTGTCTTATTGTAAATTATTATTGTTTTTTTTTCATAATATAAAAGAGTATTTACAATGCAACAATGTAAATAATTATATTTTTTGTATCTAGCTTGATTTATGTATAAACTTAATATGTACATACTTTTAGTTATATTTGTTTAATAAAAAATATGTTAATAATAAAGAATTACTTTTGTTTCATTTTAAACCAGGACTGATGTTGATTATTGATCATAAATACATGGGCAGTAAAAGAAACAATAGACAGTAAAAAATGTACTGTTATACTTTGTTTTGCTGCAATTTTTAAGTCGAGTGAAATAGATATGCAATTTGTAATACTAAGTTCTTAAGACAGTTCCTTAATTGAGGTTTTACTAAATTATTTTTTGAATTTTAAAAAAAGTGAAATAGATATGCAATTTGTACTACGAAGTTTTTAAGACAATTTCTTAATAATTGTGGTTTTACTAAATTATTTTTTGAATTTAAAAAAAAAATATCGTACCTGTCACTTTTTTTCATTCGTTTTATTTAATAATAATTGTCTAACACAACAAAGTCTACTTAGAACGATATGATATAAATATAAATGAGTTCATTAAAAAATGGTCTGATTAAAATTAGTACCTAAATAAGCAAAAATTATCCCCTCATAAAACAAGAAATTAAGGAGTTCAGTAAAAGGATTGCAACTATATATTTTATTCAGTAAATTTTCATAATAGTAAGTATAAAAGCACAATCTCTAAAACGACAATATGAATAATGTATATTAAGATTTAACTCGAGTTTCAGTGAAAAAACTATATTGATATTAAAATATTTTAATACCTTCAGAATACTAATTACATACCATAAAATAGGAGTTTTTCGATGCGGGAAGCCTATCTAGAAAAAGAATTTTAGAAATCAGCAATGGGATTCTGTAAGCTCTGTAGCAAGAAATTTCCTATCGAGCCTATGCTATTTGTATACGATTGATGAGTCACTAGACAGGGAAATGTTTACAGAATCGCACTGCAGATACCTATTACGCTACTAGGAGCCCCCCATTGTGAGACAGATATAAAATAATTTTATATACCTATTCCATAGCCTATTCTTTTAAATGTCTGTAATATTTATAATAAACTTATTTTAACGAGTAGAAGTATTGCACCAGCATCAAAATTAACACTACTTGTAAAAAACTGTTGCTCCTTGAGTTTGTAATAGATATAAACAAAATGAACATTCGAAAATAACTAAATCGAAGATATCTGAAAACTTTTGGTCGAAAAAGTGTTTTGCCATAACATGTTGGATACAATTAAAATATCTCAATTGACAAATATGCGCATAATGTTACATTATCAAACTTATTTGATTTCAAAATATTTAACAAAAAGCTTCCAATTTTTCGAAAGATTTAATTCAATTAGAACGTCTTTAACCTCAACTTAAAATAAATAAAACCAAAACAAAACATATCATATGATTTGGAACTGTCCAATCAAAGTGCTTACAGATCGAGCAAGCGCAGAAAACCTCCTCCCGAACAAGGATAGACTTATGTGGGAAATGCATTGACATTCTATAGCCATCCTTCAACATCGGGACAGGAATTTAAGCGGTACTCTCCGTATATTTTATTAAAACGTATTTGGATGCGACAAACAATGCAAAAGTGAAAATTACATTTTGGCGAATGCGCCAGGCAAATTTTTCCGTTAGATTTGTCATATAGGCGAATTTTACAGCGGACCAGCAAAGTAACCTCCATTCGTTTACTAAGAAGCCACGCCTCCTTTGTGTAGAAAATAGAGAGGGAATTTTGTAGTTCGGAATCATTTCCGAATCAAATGGAGATGATTTTAATTTCATTAGTTTTTTTTCAATTTTTGATACATTCACAATCTAGGTATACCTACTAATATATATATAAAATCTTAACCACTCAACGTAAGAAGCTCAATTTTGGCATACAGGTTGATTCTAGGGTATAGAGGTTCGATAAGAAGAGATTTTTCGAAATTCCAGTTCCCTCAAATATTACAATATTTGATATTTAAAAAACGGTTAGTCTTTCGAGAAAACGCTTGGACACGCATAATTTATTTTGTTTTTTTTACATATTTTGAATTTTTTTAAAAAATCATACAGGGTGTTCCAAAAAGTTGGGTAATTGATTAACTACGATTCTGCTTAAATTCCTTGACGTAAAAAAAATATTTTTGGGTTTGGTTTGTCAATTTCAAATTCCAACGAGATGAAACTACCCGTCAAATATTACCAAGTTATATAATAATATCGCCATATTGTTTTTTCTCGGGCTCAGGACATAAATGTGAGAACATTTTATCCAGTTTGTATGTTAATGGAAATTCTTGCTTTGCTTTGTCATCACCATTACAAATGATTAATTCGACGCGAACGAAGTCGCGGATACACGCTAGTAATTAATAATAACTAAAAGATATTAATACATTTTAAAAAAAGGTTTTTTACTATTAGGTATTTTTACGTATTTCTTATTTAATATTACATAATTTCTAACTACATAATTATTAGAAAGTGACTACGCTGCCGGTGCCGCGCCGGTTCCCTTAATAGTTGCCGGCTCCGGTTCCATTGACGGCTGAAAGAACGGCGGAAAGTAACGCTTGGCTATAGCCAATTTTGCGAGAGCAGCTGTGGCTCCGTTACTGAGACTGAGGCCATCACTTCGTGAACGAGAGGTCCGTGGTTCAAATCTCACGCCAAACTAGATTTTTTTTATTTTTTTACTGCTGTTTTTATTTTTAAAAAAAGCTGTAACTACTTAATAGCAATCAAAATACGGATTGCGTTGGTTTCACTCTTTTTGGTGGG